TTTAATGCATAATTTCTTAAATTGATTCTTAAACGTTGAACATCTTCATCTTTATTTGATTTTACGACATTGCAATAACAACACATTAACTGACAATTTTCTTTGGTATGTGGTTTTTCATTATCGATTCTATCCAATGTTGGTTTATTAGCATATGTAAACACTTTACCACACATTTTGCATTTAGATGAAAGGATTAAATCGTGATAGTATTGAAAATCATCCATTGAAACATTATTTTTAGTATCTCTTTTTGCTTTTTCATCTTGTTTCTTATATGATTCAATTTTATATTTCCAATACTTTTTCGTTAATTCAAAACTTGATTCTATCTTTTCCTCAGGATAGTTTTCATTAGGATTAAAGACTTTATATGCTAAAGCGTAACGAATCATTGAAGCATTCGATGACAAAGAAAGATTATGAAGCATGTCAATTTTATAAACAAATGTTTCTTCAATAATTTTATCAATTGGGTCAATCATAATTTCAACATCTTTATTGCAATAATGAATAAAATATTCTAATCTATTCTTAAAATTTTTAGCATCATTGAGATATATTTGATAATCACTATCTGATATAGTTTCTTGAGTTAATGTTGAATAAAATGAATCTTTCGTGAATGGTTCCACTTTATATAATTCTTCTTCGTAATTCTCCATGTGATGAATTGATAAGGGAAAAAGGATTTAACACGTGATTTATTGTTTCCGAAATCTTGAGTGAATTGGTCCAATGTCCCACCCGCTATATAATTTCTGATGTCAATAAATCTCAATTCATATGGAACGTTTTTCTTTACAATGATTTGCTTAAATTGTGAAGATGAACCCAGCATTGATTTTATTTTCCATTTTGCAGTGTTTAAATCATGAAGAATTAAATTTAAATCAAACTTTCCGCCGAATTAAAACCTATGATATTCACTTTATTAAATTCCTCATCTAGAAGTTCTTTAAATGTTTCCTTCTGTTTTTCATTTAATGTATGAGACAAAGTCCCCACCGTTTGCGGCTTCAATAATTCTTCATATTGTTCAATATTTGATTTAGCAAACTAATGAACAGGTTGAAAATAAAAACTCAATCCAATCAGAAATAAAAGAATCACTCGAAGTTAAGCAAAAATTCCTCGTATATGTTTTATCATTTAATTTAACCATTGATGATACCATGAATGGTTTTAAGTAAGCATTCAAAGTTGCACACTCAGAAAGTTGTAATTCTTCTTTAGTCTCTAATGTTTCAAAGTCAAACGTAATATAATATCTTGTCGGTTGATAATATTCCTGCAAATTGTGAGCTAATAACCACTGATATATCTTCTGTTTCGTAATATGTGGTGCATATGGTTGTTGTGTCTTTTGCAACTGAACGTCTTGAATTAATCTTCCATTATTTTCTTTACATTTCTCACAATGCTTTAAAAATCTTCTTTGGTTTTTCCTTTCTGGATCATCACGGATAAAATAAACTTCTTCTTTACAATATGGACAAACTTTATAGCCGGTGAGTGCTTCAACGTCTGTTATTCTGTCTGCGTGAAGTTTTCCACATGGACTCTGTGTTAATAAAATATTTACTGTTTCAAATTCTGGATCTATCATTATTGATTCCACTAATGGAAAGTCTACCTTATTTATGTCCACGTCTTCTGGTTGAGGATCACAATAATAGAAATCAATATTAACATTTAACATTCTCGCTAATCTCTCACTTTCTGATGAAATGTCAAACCCTTCATATGAATCTATTGCTTCATTTAAATAGCTTCTACGAGTTTTAGGATTAGCACCATCAGGAATGTTATAGAAGCGTTTAAATAACCTTCTACCTTCTGCTCTAATTTGATTATCATTCATTTTAGCTGTTCCGTTTTTGTTCATTTATGTAAGAAAAAAATATCAAAAAATAAATAAAAATAAAGTTTATTTATTAAAGTCCATAAAATGAATTAAGAATACATAAATTTTTATCATCTGCGACGTGACGAATACATTTTAATTTACTCAAGAATGTGTACCCTGATACATTAAATCTAATTCCTGTCTTATTTAATTTCACAACTTTGAAAAGGAATGTATGAATAGCTATAAAATGATGAGAAGATGTTTTATGGGTTGCTTCCATTTTTTCTGAAATAAATGAATAAATATAATGTTTATACGTTTTCATATCTTTTATGTTCTTAATAACGAATGGTATAGACCTTTCAACTTCATCTTCCTTCGGTGCTGTTCTTTCATATGAAACATTATTGGTATCTTCAACAATGAAACCACAATCACACAAAATTTTATAGGTTCCAATGGTTTCTTTTGATATTTTATCTAATAAATCAAAAACTTTATCAACACCTGTGCATTTATTTAAATAATAATTTGTGTAAATATCATGATCTTCTTTCTTAATTGTATTAGTTGCATATGTCACGTTTTTAAGAGCTTTTTTGAATTTTTCGGAATCTAAAGGTGGTGAAAGTATGATACAAGGGTATTCTCCATTATCAATAAATTGTAACTTATGTTTACGAATAAATTTAGTTCCTTCTTCTGAAAGTGTTTCATCTATTTCACCATCTAATAAATTTTGTGTTGATTCTGAGACATAATTTTTATATCTTTCTTCATGAGATTTCTGAACTTCTGATTCCGAAGCTGGGATATTCATTAAACCCTCTACTTCATTTTCATTATATTTTTCAACTTCTCTTAATTCCTTAATTTTTTCATCTATTTCATCTCTTATTTTTTCCAGTCTTTCAATTTCATTGTATTCATCATCTTTAATCCGTTCTTCATAATATTCAGGGAAAACATCAGGTTCTTTAGGTTTTTCTTCTTCAGATGTGGGATATAAGAAATTTATAACATCATTTTTATTCATTTTTCCATCATAATCAAACTCATTTAAGAACTCCGCGAATTTTTGACAATTTCTTAAATAATATTTATCAACCTCATAACCTGCCTCCTCTAATATATCCTTAATTTCCTCATTTGTGAATCCCATTTTTTTAACGTTGTTAGTTTTGACGCTCATTTCATACAAAATCAAAAAATAAAATAATAAACATAACCAAGTTTTAATTTTTCGTAAGACATTAGTTTCTTAAAGTTCTATGTTGAACTCATCAAATTCTTCTTCATCATCATTATCTTTAGCGAGTTTAATTACTCTTTCAACTCTATCTTTTGATAGTCTTGCGTTTAATTTTTTCTGAAGTTTTTCGTTACCAAGTTCTAAAATTTTACATGGATGATATTTAAACCTGTTAAATTCTTTTTCCTCAGTTTTAATCATTAATCTACAAAGAACTTTAGTGAAGTGGTTTTGTTGTTTAAACCATTTATCATTAATATTTGTTATAAATTCAATATCCGGAATTAATTCCCAAATTTTTGAATTTTCGATTAATTTACCATCAAATGCAAAAGCAATGGGTTTAATATTAAACTTACCTTTATAAAATAAACTTTCTATGCAATCATCAAAATAAACGTCTACTTGTTTAACCTGGGTGAGAATTGGTGAAAGTTTATCCATTAATTGATTCACAGTCACGAATCTTGATTTACTCATTTCTTACGAAATAAAAAATTAAATTATTCAAAAATGTAAGACATTAGTTTCTAATTTATTTTTCTCGTTTATGAGGTCTTTGATTATGACTCCATTGATTCCATTCATGATTTAAACAATGTTTAATTAATCGCGGAATATCTGACATCATCTATATATATATAGCTTCTTTTATTTTTCATTACATCATGTATGGGTTGAGTGTAAATGTCTTACATTTTACATCATTTTTAAATCTTGATTTATTCAAAAACATAAGACATGAATTTTTAATTTCTTTTACTCATGAAAATAATTATTTCTAATTTCTTTTACTCTCTCGTACATACTAGATTTGAAGAATTCAGAACATTTCCCATAATCTCCTAAATGTTTTCTTATCTTATTGGTTTTCCATTCATTATATGAAACTGTATAAACTTTATCTTTATCTTTGCATCTTTCATCACTTCCAATATATTTATATTTCAATTTTGATTTATTGGTTTCATATTCATTAACGTTTAATAATTCACAGTCTTCCTTTTTTAAATAAATGTTTTATGTATTCAGGATTAAGAATTCTATAATATTACTTCCCTTTAAATCTTTGAATATAAACAGGAACACCATCCTCTAAAATTCGATAATCTATTTTATCTGGTTTTACTTGTTGGGTCATTTATGTAAGAATAAAAAAAATAAATTATGTTTAAAATTAATGTTAAAAATAATGATACAAAATCGTTCAATATTGTATGAATTCTTACGTTTACAAAAAAAGTCACACAACCCGCACTCATATACTACTATCTCCCATAATTTTGAAAAAAAAAACATGAAATAAATCAGATTGAAATAAAAGCTTCTCAAACAAGTAACAAGGATCAGATTTCGGAAATTGAAAACTAAAAATTTGTTGGAAAAAAATATTTTCAAAGAGAAACTTTTTTTGATGTCTAGAGGTCTTTTACTTAACCATGAATATATTGCGGCTCATTTAATAGATTTTATTAACGCTGATGTTTCGGTCTTTGAGATTTTTGAAGAAGGGGATCTCGAGAAAATCTTAGTAATTGCAAATTTAACTTCGGACGATTTAACTCCACTTCTTGAACAATGTTTTTCTATAAAGCCAAATAGTAACTTATGTTCAAGACTTTTAAATGCAAGTATTTTCATTCGCAATATGAAAGATGTAATATCGATTCTAAAAACGGTTAGAAAATGCATAAAGATAGGATTCTTAGATACTATAATCGAATTTTTAAATCAAATAGATCAAACACTCTCTAATTTGGCAAATCTTGAAAAATCTAATAAAAAACTTCAATTCGATCTTAATGTTATGCAAAAACAAAAGCAAAACTACGAAAAGACATTATTTTACTGAAATCACAAATCAAAGAAAAAGAAATTAGACAAAATAATGATGAGATGAATTATCCAAAAGAATTTCTAACAAAAATAGCAGAATTAAAGAATTCAGATGATTTTGAAAGCGTTTACAAATTCTTTGATGATCTTTCATTAAAAGGAGATCAAAAATTAATGAAAAAAGCATGTAGCGAAGGACTTAGTGAAAAGAAAGCTAAACAGAAAAAGAGAAATATTCTTCTTGCAGCAACAGAAAGAGGCAATCTCAGGCTTGTTAAATCTCTTATAGAAGGTGGATGTAATAAAGAAGCAACAGATATATTTGGTTCAACGGCACTTTTTTATGCCGCGAGTGAAGGTTTTCTTGAAATTGCTAAATATCTCATCTCTATTAATGCAAGCATAGCAGCACATAATATTTTTGGAGATACTCCACTCATTTATGCATCTCGTAATGACCAAAGTCTTGAAGTTGTTAAATATTTTATTTCATTAGGAGTTAATAAAGAAGAAAAGAATTATGATGGCAAAACAGCTCTCCAACTTGCAGCTCCTAAGGTTAAGGAATATCTTTTATCATTAGGATAAAATCATCAGAATATCATTTAACATTAGATTCAGTTTTTTGTTAATAAAGTTAAAATCTGTACATTAAGATTTGATTATGCATTTTTTACATGGGAAAATCATTGAAAATAAAGGGTTGTAGCTACTCACAGCATTTTCAGACGTGAAATGACTGCAAAAGAGTTACATTGAGCGACTTTTTTTTTGAAAAAATGTTCACGCCCGAAAAAAATTTGTCTATAGATCAAGTTAGACATATTTTTAAGGCATGAATGGAATGAATTTTATGGAGGAGATCCTTCCAATACGCAATACGAAAACGAAACAACAAATCTTTTAAAAGGTGATCAAAATTACTACGTAAAGCGTTGTCTCTTTTCCGAGAATATTATCTCAAGTGCTATTAATTTTAAAACTTCGAAAAATACAACAAAACTATTAGTTGATACTTCACAATTTATAAATTGTAGTAATTCCAAGTATGGAGGAAGTTTATACTTCTCCAGCGAAGGCGAATGTGTCCAAGATCGAATAATAAGTGACTCATCAAAAGTAACATCACAGGATTCTCAAGGAGTTTACTGTTATTCAGATGTTTCAGATAAAGGATCATTCCAAAACAAAATTCTTTCTTCTTCAATCACTAAAAGTGGAGAAAATAACTTAGGAGAAGGAAATATTTACCTAAAAAATGGAAAAATTAATTTCACGAATTCAAATATTTCTCATTCAAAATGCTATGCAATAAGTGTTGCTTAATTTGATAGATATTTATCTGATTCAAAAGTTTTATTTTCTATATTTTATGATAATAAAGGTGCAGATCAAATTTATTATCCCTCTGTTTACCTTGATCTTTCATTATCATCAAATATTCTATTTGAAGCAACAAATTTTCAAAATATTACTGACAATTGTTTAGTTTTTGCATATTATTCTCCAACAAATTTAACATTTTGTTGTTTCTCAAATAATAAAATCTCTGATTATTATTTCTATGGAAATAGTGCCAAAATTACAGTTGATAGATGTTTCATTGATGCAGTAGATTCACGAACATTAGGACAAGTTGAAATAACTAACAAAATCCAAGATACATCTAGCATAGATATTTGTAAAGTATACTATGAACTCGAATATCAAATTCTTAATATCACCAAAAATAAAAATAAATTTAACACTGAACATTTCGGAAATATTGACAAAGCTCCAAAATATATTAAATTTTCAAACATTTCTACAAATTTAATAAACTTCACCTTAAACACATAATCTTTTTTAAAAAAAGATTTAATTTTTCTGGAAATTTACACTTTTCCGACGTTTTGTCAGGGGCGCGAAGCGATCCATAAATGTCGGAAAAGTGTAATTCTCGGGTATATGATTATTTTTTCTTTTAATGCCGAACAGCATTTGAATCAATAACAATCGAATGTCAGTCAAGAGAGGATTCATAATTTAATTGAGACTTTGAAATATATTACCTCAATGCTTTCAGTTTATCTCGCAATAGTATTTGAAATGAGAAGCTCAAACTCTTACATGTGGATGATGAAGTTATTGAAAGTTCTTAAATAGATTCATGTTTTTTATAAAAAACAAAACAAATAATTTTATTTATTGTGATTCTGGAACAATATAAACAGGTGGTGAAATAATAAGTGAAACACCGTCATTCACAAGTCGATGAACGGTTGACGGTGATTTAACTGGGATATAACTAATAATATTATTTGAGTTTCCATCAATTAATGGATAACTTCGTTTCTGAGATGAAACTGTCCTCAGTAATGGACATTGATATAACTTAGCTGTGCTCGATGATTTCTTAGAGACTGTAACATTGATATCTGGGAATGGATTAATGGCAGAACCAGCTGTTGATGTTGAGATTCCTTCTGCCGTCCAAATTCCACCAACTAAGGTCAATCCGGTAATGGTCAAAATGTTCTGTGAAACTTTCATTCCGCCGATATCGAAATTGAGCATTGCTGCAGAAGCTGCAATTCCTTTAGAGTTTGCGCCATCAAGGAGGAAAGCGTTAAGAAGACCTGATGCATTGTTGATGTATTTGAGATCAATGCTTGTACACTTTCGTTGATTCAGCCAATCACCTAAAACTTTCCTTTTCTCCGATAAGAAATTAACAAAATCTTCATGATCACCTTCTCGGTAATATCCTGATCGCTGAGCCCAATCTGCAGGAACTTCACGCTTGGAGAATGAAACAATGTATTTGTTGATCTCGGGTGATAACAATGTCTTCTTCACTTCAACAATGAATTCATTAAATTGCAGCAATTCTCCTCTTAAAACTGCGCCTTGTGCTGTTTTAGCAATATTTGTCTTAGGATCATGCAATGCTTCTGGGACTGATGTTGCTGTTTTACGAACAATTTCGATCATATTCGCATATGAAGCAACTTGGAGAGGAATGAATGGTTTGATATCTAAGATTCCTTCCGATATCCACCTCGAAAGTGCAAATTGTCTGAATTGATGTGCAATAGACCTGTCCATGTCGAAGCCTTCGTATGGAGCAAATGAAGGCAATTCGTTGATCTTTGTTGCAATTTGTGAAACTTTGATTTCATTCGGAATTTCAAGGTTTTTGTCTGGATTATCTTCTTTGTCACTTAATGTGAAATTCTCTGCAATCAATGTTTGATTAATTGCACGAGAAACTAATGTTTTAATCTTCCTTGCATCCAGGATGGATGATGTTCCTGTTGCCAACATATTTGTTGACAAAATATCTCGGAGAATGAAAACTGGAATTGGTAAACTTGGATCAATAAATGATTTAACTCGATTGAAGAATGAGTTAAATGTGTTATCTGTGAAATCTAATTTGTCTTCGAATGCAGCAGGGAACATCAATTCGCGCTGTTTTAATAATGACAAACAAAGAGAAACCGAATATGTCAATTTCTTGAATGAGTTGTTTGTGTTGTAATACTTGAGTGTCGCTGCGAGAGATGTGAACATCAAATGCATAGTTTGACGCCATGAAATCTCGTTTGAATAGAATAATCTCTTTGACATAGACAAAACAAAGTTTGGAATTGTACTTGATGTAGATGCAACAATGATTAATCGGAAATTAGAATTAACTGTTGTTGCATTCATAATGTTACATGTATCAGCAATGAATGATGTGACTTCATGTGAATCATCTGCACAATGCAACATAATTCTATTACCTCTTGACATTGCAACTTGAAGGATCTTCTTAGCACGCTTCAAAATGTTTGAATTTGAACAAATTGTCAAGTTCTCGATCATATCATTTCGTGATCGTGTTGAGATGTTGTTCATAACAGGCATCACTGGATCATCGCCTGGAGGAGTGATGATAATACATGGAGTGCCTGGAGCTTGCATCATGACACTGTCCGGTTGGAATGGTTGAACAGAATTCATGAAATCTAAACCAAATCTAGATGAAACTGTTCTCGAAAGTAATGCATAAATACTTGTTGATTCTGCTGAACTGATGATCAAAGAAACAGGATCACCAAGTAAATCATTGACAACACCATTGTATGAGCGACTGTTGACTTCTTTGATTCTTGTTGCTAATATGCCAAGTGAATCATTTGTTAATTTTCCTTCAAAGATAGAGAAGAAAATTGTAACATAAAACATGTAAACATATGAGTGTTTGACTGACAACATTGGTGATATCCATTGGACAACAGCTTTAGAGAACAGATCAGTTAATGTTGTGGTGATTTCATCTGTTAGTTTGTCATTAGTAACTGTTGGATGTTTAAGGACTTGTTGCAAAACGCCAATGAATGAATTAAATGGAATATGGAAAGATTCGCCTAAACTTTCAACTGAATAAACTAAAGCTTTCCAGAATATAGAAACATAATTAACCATCGGTCGGTATTTCTCGGAGAAAAGATTGACTTTCTCTTTAAGTTCAATTGCTTTGTTATATGCTGATTCAATGTCATTCAAACGAGTCTTTAATTGATCTGCTTTCTCTTTGAGTTCGTGATTGATTGCAAATCCTAAGCCACTGTTCTTAGCAAATTCACCAAGATCGGTTAATGTCAATGCCAAACTTTCTTCGTCAGCTTCTGAGGATCGCAATGATGTCAATGGAACTAATGATTCCGAGAAGTCTTTGAGACTCATAGAATCATATGAACCAATGAATTTGGACAAGATAATTTGTTGCATTGTGAATTCAAGTTCTTCTTTGCAATTAATGATCGTTGTTCTGCATTGGAGTTCTGCAGGAATTGCTGGAATAGCTTTATAATTTGTAGCTAGAATCAATCTAAAGCCTGAATTCCATTTAACTGTTCGGTTGTTGATTTGTATTGACTTAGAAACATTTTCATCATTTCGCATGATGTAAATGGACATAATTTTTTGTAATGTAACTGTCAATTCACAAACATCAGTAATAATCAATACTTTTCCTGATTCTAAGTTATCAATGATTGTTTGTCCAATATCACTATTGTGCAGACTTGCAACGTTAACAGGAGATTTGTATGAATCGCAGAGATCTTTAATGAATAATCCATTGCAATCCATAATCAATGGAATTCGTGGTGAAACTAATGAATGCACTTTACTCGTGTTCATCTTATATGAAGTTCCTTTAGAAGCTCGATCAATGCCAACATCTTTCATCAACATATCTTTGATAATTGACATTGGTTCCATGATGTTATCTGTTAATCGGAATCGGCAAATTTCGTTTGCAACTTTGGCAATCAATCCTTTTCGAACTTTCATTTCGAACTGACCACAGTAACTGATGTAAAATGAATACAACAATGTAATGATGATTGTAGTCTTACTAACATTTGTGACAAACTGAATATCTTCTCTCCATTTCTTAACAATTTGATCGATGTTATTAACAATGTATTCGCATTTAGTCTTGCGATCTAATTCAAGATTATATGCTTGTTCTAAATTCTTGAATTTCTGGCTTGCATCAGTCAAATAAGCTTTATCATCATCAATTGTCTGTCTGATGTGTTGTATTGACTGTTCTTGAGCTTTGAGATCGGCAATAAACTCATCATATGTTCTCTGGAAGTTGATATAACTTTGATAAGTGTTTGCATAAGCTGATTGAGCTCTTGAGAATTGAACAATTGCAAACAACCAATCATAAATCAATAAAACAGGTGGAGAAATATCTTCGACATCTTTTCTTGTGAATGTTTCATCATTGAAGACTTCATATGCACGGGATGTGATTCTTGAATCGATGTTTTCATATGCAATTGGCGAATGTAAAATATCCAACAATTTTTCTTCTTGTAAAAGTTTGACTCCACCAACTTCGTATGAGAAATGATATCCTTTGTACATACAAAGTATTTCAATTGTTCGCATGAAAGCGTTTGTTGGATTTAATGCACCAATTCTTATCGTTTCAACATCGTTTTGTGTCATTTTATCGATTTGCTTCTGTGTTTCCAAAATTCGTCGTTGACAACTTTGAACTTCTTCTTTATCAAGATTAGACTGTTTCTTGAGTTCGTTCAATGCATCTTCTTTAACTTTCTTCTGTGAATTGAACTTGACATCCATTGATTGGATTGCATCCATCTTGTATTGATATGATCGTAATGATGATTCAGATTCTAATCTTGCATTTTCAAGAGGAGTTCTCAAATCATCCAATTTCCTTGTCGTTCTGTTGATCTCATCATTAACTGTTGAAATGAAGTTAAGAGCTTTGGTTTTAGCATTCATTGTACTGATTGTTTCGTTGTATCGCATGATCAATTGGTCATTAAATGTTCGCAACAAATCGAAATATGAATTTGGAGAAATGTTTGGATCTAATTCCAAAACAATACTATGCAAAGATCTGAAGAACTTAGGGAATAATGAACCGAATGAACCAAAGATAACTTTATTGTTATCAGTGAGAATGTATTTAGTTGTGATCTCAAGTAAATCATCTTCAGAAACTGGTGGCAATGTGATTTTGACTGCATCTTGCCAATTGATATCTTGTGATTTGTCATTTCTTGAAATAACAATATGCAGGTTACTGGAAAGAGTTCGAACAATCATATCTCTGATTGTTGTCTTCTTAGCTGTGACCATCTTGCATGAATTACTTGCATTGTGATAAACTTCTTGTAATTCTTTTTCGTCAAAGAAAACAGAGAAATCTCTTGTTTTGGCAAATGTAATCAATGATTTGATGTTTTCGGGAACTTCTAATTCATTAGATCTCAAGTACAAAACAAATGATTTATGATATGTAACAACAGTATTAATGATCTCTTTCATTGTTGGTCTGTAAGCACTGTCATTAATTTGGATGATGTCATATTTACACATGTTTGTAACAATTCTCAATAAACTGTATCGTCCTGAGCCAGGTTTTCCAATCAATACACAGCTGCCGCCTGGGAATAAAAGAACTCGCTTGATTTGGTTCATTATATAAACTAAATTCGTTGAAACAAAAATTGGAACTTTTTCATATGAAGCAGCATTGAATTGAGCAATGTAATCAATTGTTTCATCAATTAACTGCTTAGTTGTTGAGTATTCAACAGATGAATATGGAACACCTGCATCGGGAATAGTGTAAATAACACTTGTGATATGATTTTGGATATTAATGTTGTGTTCTTTGTTGAAGTTCTTGAAATTCTTGATGAAATTAGTTGTAATACTTTTCTTGTATTGTGGTAAATACAAAATCAAATCTTGGTACAATGCTGCAATTAAATGGATTTCATCTGTTTGTGTCTCACTTTGTCGAACATTCAAAATACAAACGGAATAGGTCCAATTCAAGAGTTCTCTAAATGAAAACGGAGCTTCTGGACAATCTTGTAAGAAATCTTGGAACATTTTGATCATCTTCTTGATAAATGGTTGATTAACTTGGCATCTCGTGAAGATCTTTTCTGCAAGTAAGAATGTGATGTCTCTTGAAATTGGTTTCGAGAAAATAACACAGAACTTAGTGATTAATCTCTGTGAAATTGACACGATGTTCTTGGCTGTGATGATGAATTGGGTTTGCTTAAGATCAATTGGTTTTACAAGAGATCTTGAAGCTGAAGGTTTAAGAGGAATTAATCTCTTGTAAACCAAATATCTTACCAATTCTTGAACTTGTTCTGATCCTTGATCAATATCTTCGATGATGATGACAGAAGGTTTCGTTTTAGTTGTTCTTCTCATTGAAAGTTCTGAATGGATTTTGATTGTTCCTAACAATGAATTCGATGTTGTATTGATGTCAACGTTGTAAATGTATACACTTAAATCTGTTCTTTGTTTGGAGAAGTACTTGACTAATGTATTCGAACTTTCTCCGATAATAGCAACATCGTTTTTATTATTGATCAAGAAGTTAAGTGTATCATTATTAACAATCGTGTCGCCTGTAGGAATAACAACATTTCGTGGTTCATGGATTTCTTTAGTTTCCAAATAAACTAAATCTGACTGATCAATGATGTGGTTGTGCTTCCTGAATGGAACAAAAACAGCAAATAAAGGTTTAGGATAGTATTTCCTGAATTCTTCTGATACTTCTTGCCTCTGCCAATTTGTATCTACTACAACACCAAATGTTCCATACAACCATGAATGTAACTGTGACATTGCAATATCAATAAGAATTCCATCGAAAAATCTTTCAACTGCAATGACAAAAGCTGATTTGATGCCATTTGGTGATAATTCAATTTGATCATTATCTAACAATGCTTTGATGTACCTGCAGATTGTTTGAGGGAACAAATTCTGCATCACGAAATGATACAATTTCGGATTCGGGATGTATTTGTTGAAAGAAATATCAGGTAATTTGAGACAATGATCCATTGTTTTGGCAATGTATTCTTCGAATGCTGGACCAACTTCATTTCTGTAGTTGCTTGGGAATATATTGTAATTAACCAAAGCAGGGAATTGTAATTCACACACAGCTCCTTCATCAAATTCATTGAGTCTATTCATGTGTAACAAAGTACAGCAAGAAATCATTGAAGGTGTGATGTTATTCAATGACTCTGTAATTACAATGATTCGACTTCTATCTGATGTATCAACAGTATCTAATGATTGAGTATGAGCTGTATGTTGTGATGCGATTTCAATCAAAAACTCATTGAACTTTGTGTTCAAAATTCCATCGAAAACCAACAATTTCTGTTTGTCTGTGTTATATAAATTCATTGTGTTAAACAATTGATTCATATAACCATAAATCCATTGTTCTTCAGATGTTCCTTCGTTCTTGACGTATCCATATGTTGAATCGTAAGGTAAAATAGTTGGGAAGATAAATTCTGGTGAAAACTGTGGAGCTGTTGGAACTTTTTCATCAATTCCATTACCATTCAACAAATCATCATAAACTTTTAACAAAGTTCTGACTAACAAAGATTTTCCGGATTTAATTGGTCCGTAGATAATAACGCATCTGTTGTGCTTCAAGATCTTATGAAGCATCAAAGCCTTGTCCGCCAAATAATCTTTGAGTTCTTGTGGTCCGTTTGTAATTGCCATTGTTCTCTTCATAATTAATTGATCGATGTGTGCTGGATTATCAATTACAGGCAAAACAATGTTCTTACTGAATGCCTCTAAAGTATCATGAGTTCTGAATCCATCGAACATTAATCTCATCAATAAATCATGGATTGGTTCATCGATAATTCCTTGGTATAACCAATAACATGCTTTAGCAACAATGAATTCTTCAAATGCTCTTTCACTTGCAGTCAGGAATGATTGTGTCGATTCTCTCATTTCATCTTTGATTGTTATTGACATTTTGATGATTCTCATAGCATTTGCAAGTGAAGCAGATGTTTTGAGATTCAATTTCATTATGCCTGAAATAGCATTGATTGTTGATGCCAATTTAACAGCACATGTATCAGCAAACTTGAATCCTGATGCAGAAAGCTTGATTTCTATTACTGCTTGTAAATCAGGATTAATCAAAGCAACTTTGAACAAAGAGTTTCTCAAAACATTTGGAATTTCAGCAGTGTTTCCTTCATCAAAGAAAATGAATTTTGATGTTGGAATAATTCCTTTGTTGAAACCTTCGTAAGTCATTGAATTGATTCCTAAAGCATTTGATGCCATGTACAATTGTATGAAATCAGTAATGATATTCAAAGAAGGAATAGAGAAGGAATTTACTTCTTTGAACAAGCACCAAGCACCAGTAACAACAGTTCCTAACAACAATTGTCTTAATTGGTAGATGGAAAGAGAACTTAATGCAGGACAATCAACAACAATTTTGCCTAATAATGCCGCAGCATGTTCAACAATTGTTTTACGACCTGTTGAACTTGATCCAACTAATAATGGACATTCACACATGAATATTGAGTTGTAAACTTTTTCTGTTGCTTGGGTTCGAATGAAAGGACGAACATCACCCCAATATTCATTCTCAAATGGAATTGTTTTACCATTATATGTAATGATAAATGTTTTCTCGCTGACGCTAAACTTATAGTTGGGATAAGAAGCCCACAAAACATCAGGAACATTCGTTTTCTCCATATCAGAAAGGATAGAGATTTGATTTGAAAGAATGATGATAACCATTGATATCATTCCTCTTGAGAAATAATCTGTTTTCATCTCGAAAATGTTGATTAAATCAACTTTCTTGTTGTTAATTGAGTCCTTTAATGTAGTAATTGCTTTCTGAACATTGTCTGATGAGAAGCAATATTCAACTTCCATTGTGAAACTTGCACAAAGAACCAACATTACAACATGTTTTGGATATTGGAAAATCCAATCAGATAATCTCAGTTGTGCAACTCTTGCGTAACTTGTTGCGACATTCTCAATCAATGCTTGATTCATGCTTTCAACAACATGCTGAAGCCAGGATTCAATTTGTCCTTGAACTTGGACATGCTTGATAAAATGCAGAATGTGTCCATCATTTCCTTGAATTCCTTTGATTTTGATTCTTGTCAAACCAGTTTCTGGACAAATCAAATTCGAGCACTTCATGAACAATCTCGCAGCAATGAACTTTACAGAATTGATATCATTAAGAGCAGATAATGTAACAATGTCGTTTGTTCCCATAAGGAATAAACGTGGGAAGAATGTGCATTTGGAATCTGCATAAGTTTTGAGATTCGATAAAATACTAACAAGAGAGTTATTGCAGTCATAAATGATTTGATACAAATTAGGGTATGAACAAGCATTGATTAATGAAAAGTCTTTGTGGATATGTGCAACACAGCTTGACCATTTCCTTCTAACATTCGAAAACTGGGAAGTTAGTTGAGAAGGAATTGATTTTCCATTTTCATTGTTGAAAAGTGATCTCAAGAAAACCCAATTTGCTTGGAAACTTGACCAAATGTTTAAGATATTCGAGCAATCATTAAGCTGCTTCAATAGAAGAGAAACTTGTTCTTCAACCCCATGTGCGAAAGGTAAAGAAAGCATTGCTTCCAAAGAAATGATAGAATCATCGATTTTTGTAATCAATTCTGAAGTATCCGTCAACAAAATGTTATCTTCAACTTTCTGTTGACCTGAAACAACAGGCAACTGAACAGCATTCCATCCCTTGAGGATACCATTGAATTCTGCTTCGACTTTCTCTTCTCTCTGTGCGATATCCGTAATCTCATCAATTTTGTTCGCGTAATCCATAACTCCACTTGCCAACAATTCATCCAATCTCATATCTGTCTTGTATATGTTTGGCAACTTACATTCTTCGAACAACTTTGCCCAATGGCGTGGCAACATTTCATGAGCTGATAACAGTTTGAGTTGAGTGAGATAAGGTGAAATGGTCTTGAGTTTCGATGTGATTTCATCAAGTAATGTTGTTTGGAATGGTTGTTCGTAAATTAAATCACGACAAATGTTTTCAATTTCGATGATTTCATTACTCAAAGCATCGATATCAACTAACCAAAACACATTACGAATTGATGATTGATCAACTTTTGTCCATCTCTCAACACAATCATACAATTTAGTTACGAATGACATGATCTTAATTAATTTTCCTAAACTCTCGAAATTTGTTGTTTTTGTGTTCAAAACATCTTGATATAGAGAGAATTTTTGAACTTTTGGTTTGAGTTTGTTGATCTTTTCTTGGATATTTGCAAGAGTTTTCTTGAGAACTTCGATATTGCAAAGTTCAATAGAAATCGGAATTTTTGATGCCATATCAATGTATGTTGCAATTTTCTCTTCGATGTTTGTTGCTTGAGGAATCAACTCTGAAATGAATGATTGTCTGTTATTTCTTCTCATTGTAGCACTTGCTTCAAGAACTTTTGTGAAATTGGAATAAATCTGTTGCAAAGAAAATCCAGATGACTTTGATGCATCTAAATGAACACCATATTGAACAAAAATATGATATAATTCATTTGTATATTCAATTTCTTCTTGTATCTTTCCTAAGAATTTATTTACTTTATCAATTGTTGTGCACAATTGAACATAAGTCTCTAATGTCGATGGTTGGACTTGCAACTTCAATTGATATGATGATAACATCGTGTATATTCTGTCACTTTTTCCGTCAAGTAATTTTTTGAGAGTTTCGAAAACGATGTTGAATTTCGCTTGAGGAATTGGTTCCAATCTTCTTTTGAGGGTTCTTGATTCTACAAATAATGTTCCTGTGGCAATAGGAACTAATTTTGCAATTCTTTTCTCGTAGTCCATGAATTGTTCTGCGAATTTTCTCATTGTTTTGATGTCCATGTATGGTTCGACATCAAAATCAATATCTAGTTCTTGATTTCCATTATCTGTTAATTGATAATTTAATGGTTTTGCTGGCTTGTTAGTTTTTGATTTAATATAATCTTCAATGTGAAAAGTTTCATCCAATTTATGAATTGAATAAAGTTCTTTAAAGACTTGAATTGCAACTAAAGCGTCTTTATAAGACTTCTCCATTATATTCAAACAATCCTCTTCAATGTCGTTTATTTCAGGATATGGAGCCAAAATCTTCAACAAATTTGGTCCATTTTCAATGAGTTCTCTGAAATTTGGAATTGATTGTTTTATATGTGGACGAAGTTCAACAGCCATTATAAGCCTTGGAAAACCAGTTACTAAAGAAATAGCTGAAGAAAAAGCATTGCTGATCGTATCCAATAATTCTTGCAGTGATGGTTCCAAAGAGATTTGTCCATCATCAGTGAAAATTAACTCTGCTTGAAACAAAGCACAATTTTTAGTTTTAAAAACTTCATGTGCTTGTTTCCATGAACCAAGTATTGCTTGCGCTTGCTCTTCAAGTAGCATATAATCTAAGGATCTTAAGTAATTTGCATAAGACAAAATCTGGTTGTTGACTTTTATTGTTCTTTTCACTCTTTTTTCTGCTTTTTCTTTTTCAAGAACCATTAATTGGCCAAGATTTGGATTTTTGCGTTTAAACGTCTTGATATCGGAATCTTTTACGATAATTTTGGCTGGATCACGTACTTTGTTGTCGAATTCTAAGAATTTGTTGACAATTTCTTGATGATAATTTCTGTAAAACGCAGATAAGGTCGAAAAGTTATCTTCTGTTTTGGATTTAAAGTTTGGAATGATAAATTGTGATTGAGCTCTGAAAATCAGTAAAAATCTTTTAATAACTTCGTCTAAATATAATTTTTTGTGCTGATCTACAAAAATCTCAAGAATTTTCATTGTTGTTTGAGCAAATCCTGTATTCAATACAATTGGCTTCGTAGCAATAGCTTTTGTAAAAACTTGATATCTCATTTTCATAATGTAGACTTTCCAGAGCGTAAATGGCTTCCATATGTAGTACATTGAAAAGAACTTAAGCTTTCGAAGTGATATAAAATGTGATTTCTCGCTTGCCCATTGATGTAAAGATTGAGAAAATGTTGTGCCATCAGAACCAACAATTTGTATGCCATCAGCCGACATGATGCAGTAGTTATCTTTCAAATCAGCATATGTTGTGATCTCTAAATCGTATGGCGAATACTGAGGATCTGATGGATCTTTTGAATAGTTGAGATAAATGAATTTATGACCGCTTCCGTCTTTGTGTTTACTGAAGTAGGCGAGAGGATCCTCAGTAAAAGCCACTTCTGCTTCTTCTCTATCGCCAGTTTCGATACTTGTTCTCGTTAACGGAGGTGCAGCGCGAGAAGGTGTAAAAGGACGTTTTATTATGAATGACTGATTCACAAACGGATGTTGTTCTTGCTCATAAACCATAATTGGCTTTTTAATTTCTTTCGATGTTTTCGGTCGTGTAAATTTTTTGCTGTTCATATATGCGCGTAGTTTTGGATTTGTACCTTCTATGATTGATCGTGATTCATTTACAGCAGGTGCGGCGTAATCGTATTTTTCGACTTGCATTTCGACTGAATAAGGATCAAATAGTGGATTTTTTCGCGCGGTTGATACCCTTTGATTACGTAGAGGCTTAACTATATCTTTACCAGTTAAATTTAATTGCAGCTGGGTATCTTTTGGCGGTCGCTGCGTCATTTAACGTGATTTTTGACAAGCGTCAAATATTTTTCAGTTTTATTTTGGAAAACTCTGCATAATTAAACTACACAATATAAACACCAAAATCATATTAATTTTATAAAAATTTACATGTCAAAAATTTTATTCGATCGAATTTTTATTTATTTGTGAGTATGAAGAATAAGAATCCTTTTCTTGAGATAGCAACTAAGTGCTCAGTGAAGCCATTCGATATGGAAGAAATTGTACTCGATAGACTTGGTATAACATCAATCGAACCAGATCAATTAAAATTATTTCCTAATTTAACAGTACTCTATATCACGCATAACAAGCTTAAAATACTCAACAACCTTCAACCATGTATACGATTAAGTTTTATTGATGCAAGAAACAACCAATTAAGTGAATTAGATCTTAAAAAGCAAACATTCTTACGAGTTCTTTATCTAGCGAATAACAAATTTGAATATATTGAGAACTTTATGAAGCAAACATCACACTTACGTAACCTTGAAGTTTTAGATTTGCGTGGAAACGAAATTACTCAAATTAAAGGTTATCGCGCAATGATGATAGATCAATTTCCCAACCTAGAAACACTTGATGGCATAGATATTACAAAATCAGAAAGAATCAAAAATAACGTATTTCAAAGATCAACAACAATACAACGAAAGCCTCAAACAATGCTAGAATTTCTTACATCCTTACCACTTTCTGATGCAGATACAGTAGTTTCTCGTCGCGCAGGACAGATTAGGGTAGCAACTGAATTAAGACTCAAAAAGGAAGAAGAAGAAAGAACTAAGTTTGCGAGAATGCAAAAGGAAAAGTTTGAAGCACTCGCTCACATCACACGAGCTCCATTGCCAGACTCAATTGGATTTAAGCATGAAGAAAAAGAAGAGAAGAACGAAAACCATGATGAAGGAAAGCGTAGATCCAGATCAAGAATGTATATTAAGACATCAACTTTTCCAGAAGCAGCTAAAGATGAAGGAACAAAATTCTTTGAATATATGAATCCTAAGCTACCAAAGATTCCAACTCGTGCATGTAATGAGGCAGTAGTTTATCCAAAGTAGCTAATTCTATTTTTGCTGATAATTTTTTAATGGATTTAATGGGGGGATCAAAAGATATTTTTGTTATTCAACTTGGAATTGTATAGGGTTGTTAAAAATATCAAAAATTAGCGTTTTGAAGACACCATGGTGTCTTATAATTTTCCGTTCCTTATTGGCGTGTAGAAATAAATGCGCCAATAGATTGAAGAAGAAGAATTGTTTTTCTCTTAATGAACTTTAATCCTTTTGATATAAGAATATTAAAAACATTAATATAATTTCGATTTCGGAAATTAAATTTCCAAATTTTTTGTCGATTTCGGAAATAACAGGATCCCGCATCCAACACGCAACAACAAAACACAAAACACACTTTTTGGTTCTTTCATTGTTTTAATCGTAATTTATGTAATACATGATTTGGATAAATTTTACAAAAATAGAACATATATTATATTCTTTTCAAAGATTCTTGCAAATCATCAAAAATAATTGTATTTTAAAAAACGATCAAATTATCCTTTCATTATTTTAAACTTAAATTAGTTTTTATGATTGACTGAAGCAATCATATTTATTCATCTAAGGGTTTCGTTTTGCTAAAATTGTCACTTTTATAGCATATTTGTTTTTGGATGTTTTGCGAAACCAAAAAAAAAAACTATGATATACAATGTGTGTGTAAAGAAAATACTTTATTTACTAGTTAAAAAATCATTTGGTATTGATCAAGTTATTTTTTCTGGATAAGATATTATATGGATAATTGGATAGAAAATACAATTATATAATCTTGTACCTGGTTTAATTAAGCTAATTGTCATCAGAAACTTGTAATTTTTATGAATTTCAGATTTTCTTTTCATTACTGCTTTTCTTAATAGGTCAAGTTCTTATTTACGTTATAAAGTATGATATTTACAAATATCAAGTTATCATGTTTTTTGAGAAATTATGAGAAACAAACAAAAATGAAAAAGATAGGAATAGCAATGAATAGTGATGTGGGTATAGAAAATGTAAGAGATATGAATGCAAAGCAATCAGTATTTAGGATATTGACCATAGATTTCGAAAAAAAATGCTGCATATTGAGCGAAAACTATGATTATATTATAAGGCTGTCATTTAAAGCATAATGAAACTATTCCCTTTTCATTTTAATCGAATAAGATAGTAAAGATTTTTGAATTAGCTAGAAACTGATGAGATGTTTTCACAAATCAGATTTTTAATCTCTATAATGCATAATTCACTCAATATCTCAATTTTGATATTGCGAGATATTTTTGCTATCGGTTTCGCAATTTTGACACAATAGCAAGAGGGTTCTATAAGCATTATTATCAACGTAGAATCTGAATATCATATCAGAAAATGTCGCAAATCTGACATTTACCGACAAAAGCAAAAATAATTGAATACTTTTCGCAAAAACTTTAAAAATCGATAAAAATATGAAATATAGATATTAAAGAGACTTTTTATATAATATTCATAAAGATTTTCCAAAAATATGATACCGCAAAATTAAAAAAGTGACGTCTTGAGTGGAGTCAAAGGTCGAAATTGCTAGCTAAATGTTTTTTAGCGAAATTGCGTATTGTACGTTTTTTTCGCAAAACGAAACCCTTAATTCATCATTAAATAAACAAAAAAATAATATTTGAGAGTTATTTCAAAAAAAACACATTGAATTTATTAATTTGTCTCAATTTCAGTATTATAAATTTTTATAATTTCAATATTTTGAAATACACTTTTTAATATTTCAATATTTATGATATTTCAATGTATTAAGTGGTCTCAAATTGAGCTTCTCAAATATAAGTTGGCCTATTCAAATAATAAAATTAAATAATATTTAAAATAATAAATAAAAGTGATTGAGGTCATAGCAAAACGGCTGTTTCAGTCATTAATTCTTAAAAATAAAAAGGGTAAAAACTAAATAAAATGGGTAAAATTCAATAGTGTCTGTGCTATCGTTCAATTTGAAGGTGTCTTTTGAAACCGCAAGACACATTGAATTTTTGAATAGTGTATTATGGTTTGACAGACACCAATGAAAAAAATAAAATGATATTTATTTTAAATATATAAGATCCTTATATACAATATAAATATTTTATCGTTTTATTTTCTTGTTTTAGAAATGTTTTTTATTGAAAAATCAATAAAACTAACTCCAAAATAAAATTTTTGATTTAAAGACACTATGATGACACCCGGCAAATCTTCCAAGACACCTATCGTCGGGAATCTAACAACCCTAGAATTGTATTTGAAAATTTCATGCGCATTTCTGCGCACGTTGTTTATATTAGAGTTTTTCGTTTAAATAAATTATAATAGTTAAATACCACATCACATTAAAGATTGAATGCTGATTCAATTTTTGAGATAAGCTATTGAAAATAAAATGGTATTATTTGACAATTTACGGTTATTTTTAAAGTGTCGTAACTTTCGGATTAAATAAAGCAATTAAACGAGATCATATATCCCATAAAGACTGGCCTGATTCTTTTTCAGATAATGGTTTCCTCCTAATAAGTGGAACTCCAGGCTATTTTGAAAGGAAAGACAACCAAAGTTATTACATAAATAGATGCAAATTCTCGTGTTTAACACAGAGAGGTGCAATTTATGTCCTTTCAGCTGATGATAATGTTAAATTTCTAGTTGAAGCATCGATATTTGTGGGCTGTTCTTCGAATGAAAGCGGTGGGTCCATTTCTTTTGGCTATCATGGGCAATTTGTACAGAAGGGAAATTCCTTCATTAAATCCGATGCTAAATGGCGTTGTGTTTTTAGTATTGATGTAACGGCAAAAACAAATATTAATTCTAAAAATGAACTAATTGAATCAGTGATTATTAATAATGGGAAATCTAAGGCATACAGAACTCTTCTAGGATTATATTATGGACTACAAAAAATTGACCTGTGTAATATCTCATCCAATAAAGTCTCAACAGACATTGGTGCATATGATTCAGGCGAAGCACTTTCAAATTCAATAATACAAAATTGCATAATTTCTACAAATCAGCAGTATAATGCTGTTGGCTATGGTTTATGTCTATATGCATATCATTACAGTTCAACAAAAACAAAAGCATGCCATTTTGTAAACAATACGGATAACAGTGGAGAAGGTAAATTGATTGCTGCATCTGGTTACTATGTTAATCATATATTAACAGAGTGTTGTATATTTAATAATAAATTTCACGAAACATTTTATGCGTATGAAGGTGCACGAATAAAGTACCAAAATTCATATGCTGATAATACAATGACAGAAGGAAGAGGAATTTATATTTTATACAATAAACAAAATTCAGAATGCAAAATTTTTTCAACAGATTATAATGACTCAATAAATTATGAAATTAATAATATAGTAAAGCCAACAAAAGATTCAGTTCATCTTAATTTCAAAATATACAGACGCCATTAAATGATTGTATAAAAAAATAATTATTTGTTATAAAAAAATTATTTTCTAATCAGTTTCTTTTTTTCTTTTACTGATTAGATTTCTTTACGATGTATTCCCACATCATATCAATGATGCTTGTGTTCTCCATTGCGCCAATGTTATAGAGAACTACATGTGGGAAGTTTGCTTGAGAAACTCCAAATCCTTTCTGTGCCTGCCAATGTCCAATCATCTTTCTTTGGACAGGAACAATTTGTGGCTTCATTGCAACGACAGAAAGAGCTGATTCGCTTGGTTTGTACTGGATTGAGTTGATAACTGTGTAAAGTAATTTTGAAGCCTCTTCACGTCCTTGTACGTCAGCTGTTAAGTTAACTAAAGCAGCTGTCTTCAACAAAGAATCTGTTATATTTGGAGCCATAACTAATTTGCTTTGTCCGACGAATTCAGCGAGCAAGCTCATTACGACTGCATCTTTGTTGACATCGTTGCATTTGAATGTCTTGTAGAGCGACATCATGAACAAGACGTAGAACATTCTCATCCTTGTGTCCTTGAACTTGTCCAATAAGTACTCAGCGAAATCAATTGGATTGTACTTGAGGTCTTTGACATTCAAAATCGCTGGAATTGGTCTATTCGACATAACAGCGATGTTAGTTCTTACAGCATCGATTAAAATAGCGAGTAAGAAGCACCAGTTGATTTCCTTTCCATCCTTACTGATTACGTTGTTCAACTGATACAAACACTCGACAACAACCTTTACATTGTCATCACCAAGTGTTGGTAAATCAGCGACGTAATGGATGAACAAACTTGAGATGTATTCATCACCAGAATATTGTTCGAAGAATGCATTAAGTTCTGCAGCTCTTTCCTTTGCATCATCGCCTTCAGAAATCTTTCGGCAGACATCTGTTAAGATCTTCATCAAATGGATAGAGAAAGATCTCTTGCAATCAATTGTAATATAAAGCAAGAAGATAATTGCGACTGGAACAGCTTCGCGTGAGAAAGCTTCTTTGTCGCATTTCTCTGATATCAATCTGTGATGGATGTTATCAACCAAAGCGTCCATTAACTCTGTCCTGTTGTTCTTGAGTGCGTAAAGAGTGAACAACAATAAGAAGTAAATGGATCTTGTGTTCATCTCATCCTTGAGAGCAATCATCATAATTAATGGTTCAACAGATCTGTCGCCTTCTTTAACTTGAACAGCGTTTGCAAGAATCAAATTGAAGAACTGTTGTTTGAATTCTGGATCGTTTTGGCACATCAAAGTACACATTGTTAAAACAGCTTCGTTGTCGTAAGCGAGCATCTTCTTTGCAGGAGGAACAGTGATGATCTGGAATTGTTGTTCCAAAGATGTTGCGCAATTGATCAAAGAAGCTTTTTGCAATGCGGCCAAATTCTCTGAGAACTTGAGAGAATCCCTTGCGAATCTGAAAAGACCAGCGTCTAAAAGAGAATCCAATAATGGTCTGAATGGTCCAATAGAGAACTCTTCGAGGTGGTAATTAATTGTTGCGAAGAAAAGAAGAGGTGCTAACTTCTTCTGGAAGATTTCTTCGAACAAAGAACGATCAGAAATCAAAAGCAAAATCTGGGAAAGAGCATTTGCTGCAACGATTTCTTCTTTGGAAGGAACAAATGTGATGTTTGCATCTTTAAGGAATGTAACGAAAGCATCAATATCATCAGGAATTGATCTGTCATAAATAGACAAAATTGGCAAAATGAATTCACCTGTTTCATGTGGAAATACTTGGAACAAAGAAACTAAAACTAAAACTGATGTTTGTGTCTCGATTGATGATAATTTTTCTTGTGAAACACCATTATCGAATACCAATTTAACAATTGTTTTAGCGACATCAGGTTTGTTTTGTTTAAAGTTCTCAAATATTGCATGCCATAATTTAGTAACTTCAGCAGCTGTTGAAGATTCATTTAACTTGCAATGCGATGTTAAATGCAAAGCTGCTGAAAGAACTTCTGTTGCTTCACATCCTTCTAATATTACAGGAATGAATTCGTAAATAGAAGACAAAAGAGGGTTCTGTGATTGTTCTATTTTATCGAAATCATCAGCGAATATCTTGAAGAATTCACGAGCAATTTGAGGAGTAACAGCTTTAGAAGCGAAATTAACAAAATGAGCAGCTTGTGTAATGAATCCTGATGGAGAATGTGATGTTGTAGCCATGACTAATGTTCTTGGAGCTGATTTAGTGAAGATAGATCTTTCTTTCGTCAACAACAAACATAATAATTTATGTGCAGCTTGACGAGATAAAACGGAAACACTTGAAATATGTAAAATAACAGTAACTAAAAGTAAAGCATCTCCGTTTTCATATTTGTCCAAGAAATCATTTCTCATTGAGAAAACATTAGCAATTGCTAATATAATGTGGGATGTCAAGAGATCGAATTTTCCATATGATGTTTGAAGGAAAGGATACAAAATATTGAAGTTTTGATGCAACAATGTTGTCAAAGCTTGAACAATATATGTTTGTATTTGTTCCTTCTGAGAGAAAATTCTTGTGAAAACCATCAACCATCTTGAGAACTCATCAAATAAATTGATTGGGAAATTGATGAATTCGAAACTTGTCTTCAAAGCTGTGAGGAATGTTTCTGGGAATGTGTTCGTGAACTGTTTGACACAATCAAGTGATGCCATTGCGATCATGTCTTTGATGAATTTCTCAACTAATTCTTGTTTGTTGATAACATTTGATAAATGGTTTGGATCAGCAGCAGCAAAGACAATGAATACTTTCAACGATCTCTCAAGATTGATGTATCTTTCTTGTGAATTTGGTGCTTTGTAACTTGTTATCTTTCTTACAAAGTTTTCAAAGAAAGGTATCAAGTTGTCGCCTTCTTGTAATTTGGCGAATTGTGGTCTTGAAGAAATCGTTGAAAGAATGGTGATTGTTTGTGGATAATAGTTGTCTTTTCTGTTGTTTTGTGTTGCCCATGTGTCAATTTGTCCTGCAATGGCTGCTGCCAAGGAATAATCAATCAAACCAAGTGCATGGATTGCTTCGTTTGATGATGGATTCTCTGCAAGCATCATAAAAATGTCTCCGATGAATTTCTTGAAGTTTTCATCGTTTTTACGAACAATTGATGCCAAAAAGTCCATAATCTTCGTGGAATGGTTCGCTTCGAATGTCTTCTGCTGTTTCTCCCATGTTTGAAGGATTTTGATGAAGAAATTGGCAGAAAAGTCTGGTCCGGATTCAACCATCTTCGATGCGTTGCCGATATAGTCTGATCCTGCAACTTCTGATACGTATTTGGCGAATGAATACGTATAGTTGCATTCTCTGTCGAAATCTTGGATTGGTTTAAGATTTAGACATTTTAATACGGCGTGGGAGTTCGCAGACAATGATTTCTCAGGGCTGAGTAAGAAAATAAGCATAAGGACATCTAAATTAAGTCTCATTTCGCGCCATTCTGATGGTTGTAATTTCGAACCTGTTAATTCGATTTTTCCGGCATCAGAAATGTTGTTGGACCACGAATTGATGACAGCTGAGAGGTAGCAGAGATAGTGAAGTACGTCTTGGGCCTTTGAATTGTGGATGATCTCAATAATCTTGTTGATATAAATGATCGGAGCTCGTGCGCAGAGTTTTAGTGATACAAGGTTCTGTATGAACATGTTCATTGAGTTCATGGCCGATGATGCAACGTTATCGTCTAAAATAGAAAGGTTGAAAACGACTTCTGCGAGTTGGTCGAGCTTCTCTTCGTTTATGGAGTGGATGAGTGGGAAGGTTGGGATCGCGTATTGAATTTCTTCTTTGAATTCTGGATTAACTCCAAGAATTGAAGGTTGTAACAATGGGAAGAGGACTTCGTTGAACTTAACAAGTTCTTGAGGTGCCTGTGTTGATAATTCTGCAAGAACTTGGATACAAATAAGACGAACGCGTTTTGTATCTGAATTTGGCTCTTCAACAGAAAGAACTGGACGAACGAAGTCGACAATGATGTTCATCTGCTTAACACCGATTTCTGTAAGGATTTTGAGGACAACTGGGATTTGTTCGTTGTCTGTAAATCTCAATGTACGTTTTTTATCAGTTCCTGCGAATAAAAGTGGTATGATATGTGTATTTACCATTGTTGTGAATTCATCAACACGTGTCTTGTATAAATCTGCTGGACATGTCTTGATAAAATCAGCAATAAGGGTAAGCATATCAACTTCGCCACTTTTAGCGTACTTTGTAAGTAATTCGCAATATTGCTTAGCATGAGGAAGGTAGAAATCGAATGTTGTGCTTGATATTAAGTGGCATAAGAAAGTATAACAGAAAGAAGTATGTTTTGACTTGGAAGACCACTTGAGAGCAATGTTCCAAACAGCTTCTTGGTGCTTGTAGTACTGCTCGTGCTTTGCAGACGCTGGGGTTTTGTTGATATTCTTCAAAATTGAAAGAAAAGCGTCGAGGAACTTCATTCTGAGGACACCACGTTCGATCTTCTTCTCGTTATCAATGAAATTCTGGAAGAATTGTAATGTAACTTTTTCTAAAGGTTCTGGTGTAAGAGCGAGCTTCAAATTCTGTACGCCATCAATCCATGAAGCGAAATTACGGAAATCATCATCCTTCTTGCAAAGTCCGAACTGCTGCCAAAACATATCGTTGATTATCTGGCAATGGCGAGGAGATGAAGATAAGGCTGAAAGGATATCGCCTGCAGATGCACGGACGGCGTTTGGTTGCTCGTGTTTGAGGTAATGGAAGATAATACTGACGATATCGAGAGAAATTGGATCAAAACTGATTGATTCACAATTTGCGGCGGCGAGAAGGAAGTGAGAAATGTAGTCGAAAACGTTGCATTCTAATTTCTCGAAATCTGTAAGAACTTCGTCATTAATGATTTTATCGGTGTGGAGAGCTTTTGGTTTAGCTGAAGTAGTTTCCGTTTGAAGTGGCATGTTTAAGAGTTCATGCGCTGAGTTCATTAAGGTGTTAAAGATCTTGCAAAAGTTTGGATGACAATGGAATTGCATTAAAAGTGATCCAACTGTATCACTCATTATATTGATCTGATTCGGATCATTAACAGTTGACATTTTTAGACCTTTGCGGATGATTGCACCTAATTCTTGATTGTTCATTTTAGAAGCAGTGTTTTCAAGGCGAGACTGCAGCTCATTTGGTGGGAGCTGAAGTGTATTGCATATTCTTGCAGTTAAAAGGATTGCCCACTGATCGGTAATCTCTTTAATAGCTGCTTGAACTTCCATAATTTATTTTTAATTTTTTCTATCGTTTTTTATTGTATTTGAGTTTGACAGTTCATAGAATTTCTTGAAATGAAGTAATTGCCTTTACATTATAAAATTCTGAATGTATATCGGCGTGTATGGACCTCTAATAGAATGATTTTTACATACTCAAAAGAAAAATTGTCATTAAATTCTAAATTCTAAATAAAGTTGAAATTTAATCGAATCGTATGGTTCTTCTCTATCACATCATAGTGATGCATCTACAGAATTTCTTATATTTTGCCCATTTAGTATAGATTATGATCAATTTCATGAAAAATATAGAAATTCAGAATTATTCTCATAGCATCTCGTGGTTAAACAGATTTTTTAATATGAAGTTTTGTTTAATCACGATATATTGTTTCATTTCAAATTATGAAAACAGCAATCTAATCATAACGAAATGCAATAATAGCTTCATTGACCATCAGAAAACTTGTAAAGGCAAATCCAAATCTGTATCTGCAAAAAGTCTTTGAATTACAAAATTTATCTTTTAAAAGATACTTTTTTCTTTGATATGATGTTGCTTTTTGGATTCACTAGAGTATATCTTGACTCTTGTGAAATCTTAGATATCCAATATCAATTGAAGGTATTTTTACCATAATTTCAAAGATTTCCTCTCAATTTGGAATTTTTCCAACAGGCAAAATTTTGAAAATTTGTGACGGTTTTTTTCATATTTATAAATAATGATTCCAGCCTATATGAAGCTCTGACTGGCTGCAATATGCCACAATCCCAACTCTCTTTATTTGCAGCATTAGCTGAAAATAATAGATCATCATTTTCTCATCATAGGCAACTTAAAGTTAAAAATAGCGAGCAAAGTCAAAAAAAGTTAAAAGTTTCTTTTCAAAGAATTAAAGAAGAATCGCATTCTGATACAGGTAATGCTAGTGAAGCGCAAACTCCTCAAGAGAATCCAAATCAAGTCATTCAAAAGCAAAACAACATATTTCTATCTGAATCATTAATAAATGAGGCTGAATTCCGCCCACTCAACTTTATCGGGCAACTAAGTCGTCAATCTTCAAATACAGAACAAATTCCCTTGCAAAATATGAAAAGATTTGAACTATCGCGAAATAACTCCCTCGGTCAAGAATACCAGCAACAACCGGAACAAAATTCAAATACTAAAAATAAAAAAATATTTTTGAACAAATTCTTATTGAAAGGCGACTTCAATGTCTTAGAAGATAGTTCCAAGACTGAAGATGTCTCTCTTGTATTTGATAAATCCGATGGAAATTTTGAAATTAGAAAATCTTCAAACGAAGCGCAAAACGAAGAGGAAAACAGCAATCAGCCACACTTAAATTACAATAATCTTGCATTTGATACAGGAGATTACTATGGTACTATCAAAGGTTTACCTCCAAGACTTGGATTGGAAATTTGTCACTCAGATGTTGCCAAAGAACTTTATCTTGTTGATCCAAATCCAAAGGATATTGAATCATTGCATCATCCTCGATTAAACATCAAAGAAATTAAAGGAAAAACATTATCTGTTTCTATTGATCCGAAATCATTTGTTGATAATGAAGAAGAGCATATCTTCTTGAAAGACTTCGAAAGTCTTTCCGCCCGCAATGGGAAAATAATGATTTTGCTTGAAATTGTTTCAGAGAACCCTCCATTCATATTAAACGTTGGAATGGCCTCCCAATTAGTTACATACTATCATATGAGAAGTTCTGATGACAAACCACGTTTAGAAACTGATACTCGAATTTCTTATATCGAACCAGATCAACTATCACCAATGTTGGCACCTATTCCTAAAGGAACTCCATTCTGTACAATTGCAAATAACTTATTTGAGATTCCTGTCGCAAAACATCCAGTAGAAAATACAGATTTTCTTTTAAGGATACCCTTACATTGCGTAGTTAGAAAGAGAATATGATATTGTCATGATTGCTAAAGTTTTAGGCTCCAGAAATGAATATACATCAAACTGAAACAATTGATAAATTGAATGAACTTTTGAGAGGTTCTCAAATAAAAAAAATTATCTAATTTTTTACAATATTACTATTATTTTATCCACATATGTATATATAGTAATTTGAGAAAACTTTTAGGAAAAAATAAGTTTAATAAAAATCTGAATTTTACTTGTTGTGGGATTGTTATTAATTGACACTCCAGACGTATTACTAATAGTTATGCGTATGCAATTAAAGTATTTCTGATGGACAAAATGTGAGATTTATATCAGATAATTCATTTCTACTATTAAGTTATTCATTTATGAGTTTGCACTTATTCGCACTAAATAAATAACTATTAAAAATTGTTTTAATTAATTGACACCATATAATAGAGTGAATTTTGTTTGATCAAACAACAATAGATGATAGATATAAAGCCAAGAAACTTGCTATTAATGTGCTCTACTTGCTATTTCAATGTAAGTATGATATTTTCTAAATGTTTCGTTCAGATAACTTAGATATATTAGTCAAAATTTGAAATTTTAATAGCACAAAAAAAAAAAGGTAGTGGGGCCTCCAGGCACTTCGTGCCCTCTAGCCCTGAAGATGTTTAGTATAACTTTGTCCGGACAAGTAAGGGTCTATCGTCGCTACAGGAAAAGTTACAGGCGTTCCAAGGAAGTATACTTTGAGAAGCCTTTCCCCCTTATAGAATGAGATAGGACGGTTATTTTACAAAACTGACAACACTTTGACCGAGTAGTTTTTTGTGCTGAACAAAAAGTGTCATATAAACATCTGTCAAAAACCGTTTTTTACTTCACTTAAAATGCCACGTAAGCTACGTAAGAATATACGTAAGAGGAAGAGAGCATTGAAACATCCAATAGTAAAACTGACACCACAACAACAGTTGCAACAACAAATTATGAATGACCCCACTATGTTGCAACAAATGTCAAGCAACCCTATGCTTTTAAACCGAGTTATTGGTGCACAGAGTGGAGGTTTAAGAGCGGCACTTTTAGCGAAAATGGCAGGCTATGGTGGAGCTGCAGACGGAACAGCTTATAACCCTCAAAGTCAAATGAATTTGAGTTCACTCAAAAATCAAATAACAGATGTCAAAAAGTCAAACATAGACATACAGAAACAAATAAGTGAAAACGAAAAGAAACTAGAATATGACAGACACACAAAGAAACTCAATGAGTTAAACGTAGAGAAAAAGAAGAAAGAAGAACAACTGAAAGAACTAAGTACAGAGGAATATGCGAAAAAAGTGTCAGAAAAAGCAGCAGAAGTAGCAAAAATGGAACAAGATGTTATAAATTTGAAAAACCATACTACTCAATATAAAGTACTGAAAGATGAAGAGATAAAACAAAAAGCCCTGAAGACATATATGGATAGCGATGAGTATAAAAAAGAAGTTGAAGCAAATGTAAAGGCAGAAAAACTTTTACAGTTGCAAAACCAAACCGTACAGTATGAAAACTTAGCACAAGAAAGTAAAAATAACGATGCAGCCATGCAAAAGGCAATGAAAAGCGCAGAATATATAAAAGCTAATAATGACTGGTTAAATGCCCAAGCCAACGCTAAAGCAGCCCAACTTATAGGGTCAATAAGGACAAAAATACAAGCGGATGAAGACAGTTCAAATGAAGCTTTAATGAATGCTGACTTTAAGAACGCCTTCGAAGCTCTTCATAGTAAGGTGAAACTAGTGAACGACTTCTCATCTGGAAAGAAACTGAAGTCTGAAGGTTTCGACAACGAGTTAAGAGAAGTAGCACAAAATATGACGAAAATAACAGATGCAGCAACGAGACAGGCAGTTCAAAGTGCCTATGACGCCGTTAGAGCAACTGTTGTGGAAAGTCAAGAAAAAGAGTTACAACAGACCAAAACAGACCTAGTAAATGCTTTCTTAAAAACGAAAAGTCAGGTAGGACATTATGCTGCAGATGGAACATATGTGCCAGCTGGTGGAACTTATATACCAGCTGGTGGAACTTATTTACTAGCTAGTGGAACTTATATACCACCAAACCCTCCAAGAGAAGCACCTGCACCAGGACTACCTAAAACATTTACATCGTCACATGGACACAGACACAGGCATGCACCAAAACCAACACAACAACCAACACAACAACCAACAGTTCAAAACACTGCACCACAACCAACAGTTCAAAACACTGCACCACAACCAACAGTTCAAAACACTGCACAGCAACCAACAGTTCAAAACCCAGCACAACAACCAACAGTTCAAAATCCAGCACCACAACCAACAGTTCAAAACACTGCACCACAACAACCACAAACAGAGCAAGGACATAAAAGAAGTAGAGAACAAGGAAACCAAGAATTCTTAAAAATGCTTAAGGAAAATTATGGTTACCCAGATACTCTTGACTTTAGTGACAGATATAAAGAAGCTATTAGAAAGTTCAAGGAAGGAAATACTGACCCGAACCTATTTAGCTTTATGGTTCAGCACCAAATGGGATATAATTTCAAACCTGGAAAATACAAGCTCGCTAAGGGATATGATTTAATAGCATATCATCCAAATGACATGACTGAATTTACTCCGAGATATTTGGTGTCAGAGCTAAATGATAATTCAACTCTCTTCATGAAACGCGTAAAAAATAGAGACGGAACGAAAGAAGAAAGGTTTATGAGTCCGGATGACTTAGATAGGGAACTTTTTAAAAACGGTCTCGGAATATATGAAATGCCAGCAGATGAGGTACAAGAAACTCCACAGGAAGAAGTTCAGATACAACCAGACATGGAAGAAATAGTTCAGCAACAACAGCTAGAAGAGCCTGAAGGAAACGAACAAGTCCCTCCTTTGGAAACTAACTTCACAAACTAGATGAAGATTTGGAACAGCCGAAAAAATCTTGACCCTCAACAAGTGTATGCGGGGAATATGGAATCTTTCCAAGAGTCTAAGAAAAATTCGGCTGACATAGTAGAAGAATATCGAAAAATGTTCGCCGACATACAAAAGACTCCAACATCAGATGAAAATATTCAGCATAGAATGGAAGTACTGAAAGAAAATGTACGCAAATACAACAATCCTTTTTACTTACGACCATATAACGTTCAATCTTTGGCTGAACTCGGTGAAAATAAAAGGTTAAATTTCAACAAAACATATAGAAATGAAACATTGTTTAAAGTTCATTCAGAACCTAACCAATATGGAAACAAACCTACTTTTGTTTCTGCAGACTATGGAACTACAATGAGATGGGTCATAAAGCTAATCCGGATAGGTGGTTCATAAACTTACAACCACAATTCCAAGAAGTTGTAGACGCAATGGAAGTGAATGGTGAACCAGATATAGCTGGTATTTTCAGCGCGGCTTTAATGCCATTGAAAGATATGAAAGATGCAGATATTTTGAACCAGTATGAAATGAACATGGCTGATGGAAATATAACACCTGACGTTCTAAAACATTTATCTCAAAGAACTACACAGAACCATAAAGATGGTATATTTGGTGAAGAGTTTAGAAAGAAAGTTAGGGATAGAGAAGGAAGAGAACCTATTGTACATGACCTTGCAAACGAAAGTTTGCAAAATGTCATAAAAACTTACTTTGCAGACAATGAACCGAGAAGGGATGAATATTTAAGAAAACTCAAATGGACAGTACCAAATGAAATGTTAGTATTGAAAAACATGTTCCTTGACAAAATAAAACCAACTACAGAAATAAATGACGCAAGACTGAAACGTTGGGTAAAAGCTTTCCCATTCACAAAAGATATTATTGGTAACATGGAAAGAAAACCAGAATGGCTACAAAAACATATATTTGGAAACGAGCTTATTCCATATGGACAAGCTCTGTTTGAAGAGCTTGAACCGGAAACTCAGGAAAGAGTCATGCAAACAATACGCGAAGACTCAAATACAAACTATGACAAAATCTTTCTAGGATATAGGTTACCTGAGATGGGCGACCAGAGCCCAAAGGCAAAAAGGACATGGAAAATTTACAACATACTAGGTGAACATGAGGCAAAGATGCAACAACTTGAAGCAGAGGGCAAGTTACCAAAAGCGACACCAAAGAAGAAGAGTAGAACAAAGTGAAAATAGTGAAGAAGTAACTTCATCTAGTGAAAGTAGTGGCAATGAAGGAAAAAGAAGAGTTAAAGATTCAGTTAAAAACTCAGTCAGGAAGAAAGTAAAGCTTGGTCCGAGTGGGTTCTATTATGATATATAAATCCAACTATTCTATATTTTTACCCATATGAAATGTACGCCGCTCAGAATATAACGCCAACAGTTTTGGATGCCATGAACGGAAATGTTTCCGAATGGTATAACGAATGCGACAATGCCATTAGAAGGTCAGAAATAGTTCCTGGAACTTACGAATATACAACTGCTGTTTCTTATGGAAACGTAGGTGAGTTTGGAGAAGGTTCTTCAACAACAGTAGATATTGCTTGCGACAGGTTTCATATTATTTCTATTGACAACTCATTCTTATACGTGGAACAAGACATTGAAATAAAACCTTCTGCCAAGTTGTCTGACAAGAAAGGTTGCAATGGAATTTTCTATGTCGGATACCAATATGCTCCAGAAGTTTTCATGGGATATAAGATATATTCTAACTCTGACTTAGTTCAAACAGTAACATGGGCAAACTATGAATGGTTCGCTTTGAGAAACTCAGTACAACCACAAGCTAGAGAACAAACAGACCAGTATGCAAATATTGAGAAAATAAGAAGACTTGACCCTAACGTTCCAGGAGTTTATGTTAACCTTTCTGGTTCAGATGGAAATGCTGCCACTAAAGTAAAACTGAAACTTAGAGTTCCTTTGTCATCTTTCCTCATCTTCAGGTTTTTAAGATACTTGCCAAACTGGGCAGGAAAAATTTCTATTGAACTTACTCCAAGCAAAAATAACTTAGTCATTGCACCAACACAAGACCCATTCACTATTACAGACGTAAAGGGAACAAATCAAACGTCATTCGCCGAATTTTGCAAAGACAAAGTTGACTTAGACTTTGGTTTCTCAAACTTCAACAATGAAGTAAACTATTATTTCAATGCTGCTGGAACTGCTTGGGACCCAGTTAAGTTCACATGCGAAAAGTTTGAATGCAAGAGAATAGAAAGCAGACTTGCAGTCTATATGTTGGACCCAGATATTTCAAATGCTTTAGCTGCCAAATATATTGCAGTTCCACTTATGTTCCCTATACACCAAATATCTGTCAAAGACTTTGCAGGTGAAGTTGGAAACCAAAGTGCTGACCCAGGTGCAAGAACAGATATTGCTTTAACAACTGCAATGAAACATGCAGATACTATGTTTGTACTGTTCAGACGAACTATAAATGACTATTCTTGTTTCTACAACCCCGGTATTAAATATCATATAAACATAGATGGCAAATATTATCCAAGAGAAGAATATTCTACAGTTGAGGATATGAGGTCATACAACTTGACATTAGATGCTATGAACTTTAACAACAACTTCACAACAACCATTAACCCTGAAATGCAAAGTTCTATTATGCCATATGTGAAAGTATGGACTCATACAGGAGGTCAAAACACTCAATATACAAATGGAGACCGTTCAAACTTTTGGCTTGGCATTCCATTTGCTGACTCAGAAGACTTTATGGGTGGTATTTCAACTGTTGGTACTGTACAAATACAATATACTGGTGACAGAGACGGTCCAGATGAACTGAGAGCAAAGAAGTTTACAAAACCAATAGCACTTTTCACGGAAGATGCTCTTTTGAAGATTCGTTCGATGAAACCTGCTGGGGCTCCTCAGATTGGCATAACGACAGCTTCCATCGAGCAGATTTTGGCAGCAGGTCAGTAAGTTGTTCTTGAACTGACTTCTCTCCGTCAAATATTGACAGTACGCCAGTTTTGACATAATATTGTAAGATAAACTTACCTTTAGAAATATCTGTAAGTTTTGTTGTTATATTTTTGTCAACGTCAAGAACTTTCACCATTTCAGTTATACCAACTTTCTTTGCTTTATGGAAATATTTTGGTTCAGCAAATATTGCTATTCTATAACATTTACCATTGTTTGTATAAAGAACTATTCTGTCAATGTATTTGTATTGTTTGTGTGTGTAAACTTTGTTCTGCTTCAATTCGAAGAGATACTCGAATACGTCCATCTTTTTATTCTAAGTAAAATGTCATTTCCGAAAAATAGAAGCGTGAGTGTTTCAAAAGGTTTAATGGCGGTGGCAGATGTGAAGTTAAATTCACCAACTCAAACAAACAGTCAAAGTGTTGTTGTCAATGTCAAAGACAGAGATGTTGAAGTGGGGAAACCATACGAAGACAAAGATGGTATAACAATTGTTCCTGTAAAAGAACCAACATATCCTGAAGTTAGCAGAGACTTAAGTTCTGTTGCAGATATTCGAAACGACTACCAACAACTGAAAGACAAACTTCAAACTCAGGAGAAGATTTGTCAAGCTTTAAGTATAATGTTAAACTTGGTCGAACACAACCCTGTAAAAGTGAACTCATATGTCATTGCACCTCATGAAGTTTTGAAAGAACTATTGAAACTTTTGACAGAGGCAGACGATATAAACATCAAAGAAATAGAACCCGACATTAGTTGCTGTGGTGTTTCATATAATGTCATTGACAAGATATACGTTATGAAAGGAGGTGAAACGTTGAACTTAAAGTATAGTTTCCCAGACGTCATAAAAATATTTGACGACCACAACATTTCATTAAAATTTATTTGCTAAGTAAAAATGTCAAAACTTCTTGAAAGATGTTTGAAGAAAAAATAATATAGACTTTATTTCATGTAAAGGACTTTACACACTTTTGAACGATATGAAAGACCCTGTTTTGTTTGTTCGTGTAGACAAAGGAAAGTTCTATGTCTTTACAAAATATTTGAACTTCTTAGACAGAGAACTTCAAGAAACGTCATGTGAAAGTTTAGATGAAGTTCTTCTCCACTTTCAGAAAAACTTTTAAATATATATAAATGGCAGAAGACATAATGGTTTATACTATTACGACTAAAAACCCTGAGTCATATAATTCTATAACAACAAACTTACAAAGTCCTCAAGGACGATATTGTAAACTAACCTTAAACACAATGACGACTAAAGCCTGTTTTGCTCTTTTGACACCAGAAGACTTTATTGTTGTGAATGGTAAAAAATACTCCTTTGAAGATACTTACTCAGATATACCACCAACAGGTTTTGTTGACTTATTTAATACTTTAAGTACGGGTGTAACATGTGCTGCAACTAGAGCAGGTTTCATTATGTTTGGATGTCCGACTGAGTTTACTATAAACGATATGAGCTATAATACAAAACTTATTTCTGGTTTTTACTACCAACAGTTTCCTATAACAGGAAAAGGTGTCATACAAGGAATGTCTATTCCATTGACATTAAGCACACCAATCTTATATATTGTTTCAAACTTAGGTTCAAAGTGTTATTCGAATGTTGACAGAAACTATTATGACCAAAAGATACTTATGCGTATAAACAATACTTTCTCTGCTGGTTTGCCTATTGTTCATTCGAATGCAGAATTTTCAACCTTAGTGAACTCAAACACTTTGGCAAGTATAACGTTGACATTAGTTGACGCAAACTTTGTTCCTGTAAAACTTTTATGTCCTATGTATTTGTCAATGACGGCAGAAAGTTTCGAATTGGAAGATGCAACTGGTGAAAGTATTGTATTACAAGAACAACTTCAACAACAAATAGCTCAAGAACAACAAATGCAACAAATGCAACAACAAAGTCAAGAATAAAAAAAAATATTTTTTTTATTTTTATAAAAATGTACAGAATAGATGTTTCAGATTTTTATGACTTCCAAGCATTCAGAAATATGTGTCCATTTAGAGACTATAACAAAGCAGTCGAGAATTTGAAACGTTTAGTCATTTATGTTGACTCTGCCCCAGAATGTTATGTTATGAAAGAATGGGATGTAGTCTTTAACAAACCTAAAGCGACAATAGTTTCAGAACAAGAATGTAGACAGAAACTTAAGAAAATAAAAGTCGTACAAGTTGGCATGAAGATGTTAGATGCTTGGGATATCTTATTGTCAAAGTTAGAAGATTTTTCAGTTCGAGGTATAAAGTTTTATACACCTTCTCCAAACTTCTATTCTATCTTCACTGGATATAAATATGAACAAGTAGAATGGAAAGAAAATATTATAGAAGCTTGGTTAGACCATGTCAAAGAAATTATATGCAATGGAAACGAAAAGGTTTATGAGTATATCTTATTTGGTTTGCAAACATCTTACAACATCCAAGTGCTAAAAATGAAACTGCTCTCATTATAATTGGAAAACAAGGAACTGGTAAGAACACATTCTTTACAGATATTTTGTGCAAACTGTTAGAGGGCTATTCGAACCCGAATATGACAAACTTAGAAAACATCTGTGGCAAGTTTAACTCCTCAATAGAGAATATGAAACTTATAGTTTGCAATGAACTTCAAAGTATAGATACAACAAAAGTTTTGAACTCAGATGCTTTGAAGAGTCTTATAACAGACAAAGTTGGAGTTGTTGAAAGAAAATATAAAGACCAAAGAGTTTGTGAAAATGTTGCAAACTTCATTATGGTTTCAAACAATGCTGTTCCGATGAAGTTAGAAAGTTCTGACAGAAGATATGTAGTTGTCAGAACGTCAGATTCTCATATGCAAGATACAGAATATTTTGACGACTTAGCAGAAACTTTGACATCTGACTTTTACAACCACTTGTTCTCATATTTCATGACATTAGATATTTCTAAGTTCAATCCAAGACAAATTCCACATACCGAAGAGAGACAAACATTGTTAGAAGCAAACAAGAGTGTATATGAACTGTTCATAGATGAAACTGACTTTGTGTCATTAGATGAAAGGTCATTGTACGATTCGTATAAACAATATTGTCAAGAATATGGTTATATGACAGCGTCTAAACGAACATTCTTGGCAAATGTCAAAAGTCTTTTAGACGTACAGAATGGTGTATATACAAAGAAAAATTTTTATGAGTAAATTTTAAAAAAAATATTTTTTTTTATCCGATAGAAAAGATGGCAAAATTCATCTCAGTAAACAAGTACATGTCAGGACTTAAAGAAGAACTAGACCCATTCACATATTTGAATGTTTACTTCTACCATTTTGAAAAGTCTTCATTCAGCAAAGTTTGGAACATCGAACCAGTTAAGTTTGCTATTGTGACTAAAAATGGTGCGAAATTTGAAGACTTAGACATAGAAGGTTTGTTAGCAGTCAAAGAAAGTTTTGACAGAAGGTTCTCAAACCTTAAAGAAGGCAAAGCATACAAACTTGTTATACCTTATGAACCAAAGAAAGCAGACGACTATGAATATTATGAGTCTAAAGTTGTAGAAGTTCAAGGTAAATTGGGTAAAAAGATTTTAGAGTCTAAGCCAGTGTTTACTCCTAAAGAGGAAGAGAACATTGACATTGACCCAGAAATGTTCTAAAAATAAAATTTTATTTTTACATGTCAAATTTCTTTTTCTCTGGAACTGGTTCAGGTTCTTTCTTCTCTTCTTCTACTTTCTTTTCTTTCTTTTCTTTCTTCTTCTTTTCTGGTGGAGTTATGTCAAATTTCTCCGAACCATATTTATGTAAAAGTTCTTTGTCCTTTAATAGCTCATCTATTCTGTTTTCTATTTCATCTTCAAGAACAGCGCATGTGTCTTCTTTGCATTCTAAGAACTTTTGTTGGACTTCATCTTTCCAATTGGCGTCATCTCTGTCAACAAGTCGGTCATTGACAAATTTTAAGACTGCTCTGCTTAATGTTTTATGGTTCTTGTCATATTCCCAGAAACAGAACTTTAGAACAAATTCACCTTTCTTGTTTACACTATGTAAGATTTTATGGTCGACAGATGTTTTGCTGTCGAAAAGCTTGTCTCGAATATAGATAGCGAAATCGCTAGACATTTTCTAAAAGATAAAAATTTTAATTTTTCTAAAAATATGTTAGAAAAAAAGTTTGCTGACATTGACAAGAAATTTGAGAATGTTTTAAACAAGAACAAGAGGAAGTTAGAAAATGCTCAGATAAAGCCTATACATGACAAGTTCTTATTTGCTCAGAATGGTATAACAGGTCTAATTGCACCACCTGGGTCGGGTAAGACTTTCACTTATCTTAAAATGGCTGCACAACAACAAGAACTAGATGAGAAGAACCCATTCTATGAGTTAGTAGTCATTTGTAGTACTTCTGGTCAATTTGACCAAACCGTCAATTCGTTCAAAGATATTATAAAGAAGTCTAAGTTAGTATGTATAAAAGACTCTGAGTTGTTAGATTGGATAAAGAAGTACCAAAGAAGAGTTTTGAAGTATAATGCTATAAATGAGTATATAAATTCGAAGTTTAAAGACCCAAATGAGGAAATGCAGAGAATATTAGAGAAGAAACACTTCAGAAACAAACAGAAAGAGATAGAATACATTTCGAAGAAATTGCAATCTTACGATTGGAAGACTTACCCTCATAGATGTCTTCTTATCTTAGATGATTTCGCCTCTCATCCTTTGTTAAAGAACAGAGAACAAGACATGTGTCGAATTCTTAAGAAGCTCAGACACTTTAACATCTCAGTTGTCATTTGTGTACAGACAGCAAAGAGTTTAAGTAAGGATGTTAAAAGAATACTGACTGACATTATACTTTTCCCCGATTTTGTCCGAAGACGATTTCATGGAACTTATGAAAGAGTCCATGGCAGGTAAGTTTGACAGACATGAACTATGGGAGAAGTACAAAGTCATACAAGACCCTCATACTTCTTTCAGAATTCATATCTACGCAAACAAAGTTCAAATTGTAAAAAGTCAAGCTTGAAAAATCTAAGTGTTTAGTCTTAGTAAGTAAGTCTGTTGTGGTTCTGCAGCTTTCGGTTCTTCTGGCTTTGGAAGGCATTCAGGAAGAGGAACGTCAGTCATCCGTTTGTGTCCTGTCGGAAGGAAAAATTTTTCCTGTTGGAAGGAAGAACTTTTTCTGTCGGAAGGAAAAACTTTTTCTGTCGGAAGGAAAAACTTTTTCTGAAGTTCGACCAAAAAGTTCTCAATTTTCGAAAATTTGAATGGTTTACGGACGGACAACTGGAAAATTTTTTCCTGTCGGAAGGAAAAATTTTTTCTGTCGGAAGGAAAATTTTTTCCAGTTGTCGGGAAAATATTTTCCTGTCGGATGGAAGGACTCGGAATGCCAGAAGGATTTGACGAGGCAATTTACCTAATTGAGCTACTTGAGCCATCTGAAGTCAAGCGTAAAAATAAAGAGTTCATCTACCCTACTTGTTTGAAGTTGTCAAAATACTCTGTTATTTTTTCCTTTAACAATGACAAATCTTCTTTGAATGTAAGTATTGTACAACCTTTAATATCATAGTGTGTTGAGGTAACGTATCTTGAACTATTTGTTTCACATCTTCATTTGGGGTCATTGAAATCGGTAAGTTTTCGCGATAGAACCAATTTCTGTCAGATTTGTAAATCTTAGCAAGGTCGTAAAAGCTTTTGTTGTTTCTTCTGACTAAATGCAACATAACCATATCTTTATCTTCTTCATTTTCCATCTCTTCAGTATAAATCATATACTTATAGTTCTTTTCCTTTCCTTTTGGTACCGAACGTGGTATTCTTTTCTGAATGCTTTTGTCTTTTGCTTCAATGACTTCATCTTTTGCATGAAGTTTCTTTTCCATCTCTTCACGTTCTTGTCTATGAATTTCGTCAAGAAGTCTGTAAATATTCCAAGCATAACGAGGCGAAGCCCACATTGCAACAGCATTTACAAGAAGTCTATGTACATAATATCCTCTCAAACCATTTGGCAAATTTTTACGATTTTCATGAGTTTTAGGCGACCCCGAAGGAAGTCGGTCTCGCTGTGCTTCGCTCAAAAGTTCTTGTGTGCTTTGGTTTTTGAACCAATCGTCTGTATGTTTGGTATCTGGAGCAAAACATGCTGTCAAAATACTTTGCATTTGGTACATATCGTCTTTGACCGAACGAATGAGACGTAACTGTTTGTTATATTGTATGTACTCATATTCTTCATTTATGGCTTCATGAACGATAGCAGTTGTTGTGTTCTCTGTTGTTGACATATCTGTCTTTACATACAAAATAAAAAAATAAATAAAAATAAAACTAACTTTATTTTTCTGTCTTAAGGAAATTCACGATTTTCATAGAGTTTTGGCGACTAAGGTTTCTTACCTACTCGCTGTTCTTCACTGTTTTCATACGGAATTCAGCAAAAATATATTTTATGTTAGCATGTTAGATCTAACACGTTTTCTAACACGTTTTCTCACATGGTCTAAAACATACAAAACTCATGAAATTTGTGCTGAATTCAGCAAAAATATATTTTAGGGTAGATGGTTAGATCTAACCTGTTTTCTACCCCAGTTATTTTATAAGCGTTTTACATGGTATATGTTGCGATGGTTCATGACTCTAAACAGTTTTGTAGCTTCTATTTCTTCTTTTAGTACATCGAATGTTTTAACAATGCCGAAGGTTTCTTTATATTTCTTCTTGACGTCAGATAGAAGGAAATCTTCTGCTGTTGGATAGTTTTTGTCAAGACTTCATTGTAAATGACCAAAAATATATTTTATGTTAGCATGTTAGATCTAACCTCTTTTCTAACACGTTTTCTAACATGGTCTAAAACATACAAAACTCATGAATTTTGTTGCTGAATTCAATAAAAATATATTTTAGGGTAGATGGTTAGATCTAACCTGTTTTCTCACCTCTTTTTTTCACAACCGTTTTACATGGTAAACGTTATTTTTACATTATGACACGAAGTGAAGGTTAACACTTCGTCAAAAAAATCCCTGAAATCATATCTTACATACAAAAAAATACAAAAAAATGACACTAACTTTATTTTCTGACTTTCACAAAAGACCAAAAATAAACGCTTTACATGTATTTTTCAGCACTTCGTCAAATAATTTTATAGCTTTATCTATCTCATCTACTTCAAACGTTTCTTTACCTTTATGGAGCACCATACATTTTCTCAAACTTTTCAAGTAGTTTCTGTTTCTGCAGCTCTCATATCATTAGCAAAACACAACCTTGACTCTATTGACTGTACTGTCATATCTTTGAGTTATATTATCTATCTTATATCTTTTTGTGTTGAAGTCCTTCGGTTTCTGAACGATGTAAAGTAAGCCTTCACTGCAACGTTCCGTATCGAATGAACCATATGTTATGAAGTTATATCCAACAACTGGGTCTAACCATAACAAAACTATTGGTATAAGACTTTGTCGATGAGATATGCTGTAGTTCCATAGAATCTTACCGATATCATAAGCTCAGGATTTCTTGTCAAAATTTTCTGACTAGAAGCAATTCTAAACCCAGTCCTGCGGTCTCTTTCCAGATGGAGATAAAATGTCTGACAAAGAATATTTGTTGTATTTCTTTTGAGTATCTTACGTTTAAATCACCTATTCTAACCAATTGTGTCATTGTCTATCTTTCTAACTGTTTCAAACTCAATGTTTGACATATCTGTCTTTAAGTCTGCATAGTCGTTTCTCATACGTTCTATCTCTTTGACGGAGTAGTTATATTTCCTAATTGCTGCTTTACATTTAGAACATTGCGGGTTCATTTTTGCGTTATATTCTGAAACCTTACCTGCTAGAACAACTAAGGCGTCAATGGTTTTCTTTAACTCAAAAGTTGCTGGTCTTATTTGTTTGTTCCATACTTTGCCTCTTCTATCTTTATCTCTTATCTGCCATACACATTCAGCAACTAACGAAACAAAGTTGTCGTATGTCTTAAATTCTTCAGATTTATATATGTCAGAGATGTTCTTATATACCATGTCGCAATCTTTGTCCATAACCTTATGGTTGCAATGAAATCCTAGAAACTCATAGTTTACCTTTCGTATGAACTTCTTTATTTCTACTGAGTCAGTTGCTTTGACTTCAATTTCATCGAATTCAGGAATAGTGAGTTTTTGTTGTTGGATTTCAGGTAGTTTAGGCAAATGGTCAATAATGTCCTGCATTTCATAAAGATATTCTTCATTTTCTTCATCTTTCGCACTACAGTCTAAATTACTTGTTAAAAGTTCCTGCTTTATCTTCTGGATTTCTGTTTCAAAAGTATATGAAGACGAAGTGAAGCTTTTCATTTCTACCAACATAGATGTTGGATTCATGACTAAAGAGTTTGGTGCTGTTGTTTGAATTGTTGTTGTTGTGCCGATTGTTGACATTTTTTATTTTTTTATACAAAATAAAAAAAATAAATAAAAATAAAACTAACTTTATTTTTTTATTTCGGGAAAATTCATGAAAATTCAAGAGGGTAGAAAAGAGGTTAGAAATGAGGTTAGATCTAACCTTCTACCCTAAACATTATTTTTGGGTCATTTACGCTCATTACGATGAAGTTTCGACAAAACATTTACGTTCATGTTTGACAAAGCATGTACGAAGAAGTCTTGACAAAACATATACGTTCATGTTTGACAAAACATTTACGAAGAAGTCTTGACACTTTTTCATTAGATAACTGTTATTTTTTGACGAAGTGAAGAGTAACACTTCGTCAAAAAAATCCCTGAAATCATATCTTTTATACAAAAAAATACAAAAAAATGACACTTTTCATTAGATAACTGTTATTTTTTGACGAAGTGAAGAGTAACACTTCGTCAAAAAAATCCCTGAAATCATATCTTTTATACAAAAAAATACAAAAAATGACACTTTTTCATTAGATAACTGTTATTTTTTGACGAAGTGAAGAGTAACACTTCGTCAAAAAAATCCCTGAAATCATATCTTTTATACAAAAAAATACAAAAAAATGACACTTTTCATTAGATAACTGTTATTTTTTGACGAAGTGAAGAGTAACACTTCGTCAAAAAAATCCCTGAAATCATATCTTTTATACAAAAAAATACAAAAAAATGACACTTTTCATTAGATAACTGTTATTTTTTGACGAAGTGAAGAGTAACACTTCGTCAAAAAAATCCCTGAAATCATATCTTTTATACAAAAAAATACAAAATAAAACTAACTTTATTTTTTCTATCTTAAGGAAATTCATGAAAATTCAAGAGGGTAGAAAACAGGTTAGAAAACAGGTTAGATCTAACCTTCTACCCTAAATTATATTTTTGGGTCCTTTACACTCATTACGAAGAAGTCTTGACAAAACATTTACGAAGAAGTCATGACAAAACATTTACGATGAAGTCATGACAAAACATTTACGAAGAAGTCATGACAAAACATTTACGATGAAGTCTTGACAAAACATTTACGAAGAAGTCTTGACAAAACATTTACGAAGAAGTCATGAAAATTCAAGAGGGTGAAAAAAGAGGTGAAAAAACAGGTGAGATCTAACCTCTTCACCTAAATTATATTTTTGGTCCGGGAACAACTTTCTCTCAATTGGAGCTGTAGCATACTCTTTGCGTAAACGGTTCAGACCTTCTTCGAACTCTTGGTCTCTCTTCGATTTGGATTGAGATTGGAATTGCTGGGGTGGAGCTTGCTGGAACAACCAAGGGTTGGGGAAGTAAGGCATAGGCTGAGGAGGGTAGTTCGGGAAGCCTTGTGGTGGGTAGTAACCTTGAGGTGGAAATTGGTAGTAAATCGGAGGTACTTGCTGGAACTGAGGTTGCTGAGGAGACTGTTGTGGTTCTTTAGGTTCCTCTGGTTTGGGAATGGACTGGGTTGGTGGGACGTGGGACATTCGTTTGTGGCTTAACCGTCGGACCACAAACGATAAAAATCTCTGCTACTAGCAGTACTGCTACTGACAGTAGCAGTACTTTTACTGACAGTAGCAGTACTTTTTCTGACAGTAGCAGTACTTTTACTGACAGTAGCAGTACTTTTACTGACAGTAGCAGTACTTTATCGTCGAAAACCCTCTCAAATTTTCCTTTTTACTGACGGTAGCAGTACTTTTACTGACAGTAGCAGTACTTTTACTGACAGTAGCAGTACTTTTACTGACAGTAGCAGTACTTTTACTGACAGTAGCAGTACTTTTACTGACAGTAGCAGTACTTTTACTGACAGTAGCAGTACTTTTACTGACAGTAGCAATGGACAACATCGAGCCATTAGATGAGGCAGTTTACCTAATTGAAATTAACGAGCTTGTTAAGCAGTACTTGCGCAAGGTCATGAAGCCCAAGGTCAAGTTCACCACTATTTCTGGAAGGGCTGCCTTGAATCTCGAGACTTCGACTGGAATTCCAATTGAGGTACCAGACGGGACAGCCTACGACGACATAAAGCAAGCAAAGAAGGAAGCCATTATAAAGTTCTTTGCCAAGCGTCCTTGGATACTACTTCCAAACAGAGAGAGTCCAATTCCACGAATTATACAAATTCTCAGAGCACTGTTCCACTTCTCAGGACAACCGTTCTTCATAACCTGTGAAGGCGACATCCAACCAGTTCAGTAAACCTTAACGTTTAACTTCACTTTTTTATGTTTTTTGTGAAAGTGTCAAAAATAAATTGTTTTCATGAGTTTTCTACGATGTTAGAAAAGTGGTTAGAAAACGTGTTAGATCTAACATGCTAACATAAACATTATTTTTCAATACTTTTTCAGCACTTTTCCGTAGTTATATATGAAAGACAATTCGAGATAAAAGTCATAGTACAATGGAATAATATGTTGCACACCATTTGTTGTGAACCAAACTTGAAAGTCAGAGAAACTGTTACTAGGTGGTTCGTAGAATTTAGAAGCAAAGTCATAAAAGTCCTTACCAATACATAGAAAACTATTGTTGCTTGAACTGAAACTTGCATGACACATAACATTTTGAGGGTCAAACACGTTTCTATAAACTGTCAAATCTGCTGGTGGAAGTATAAATTTAAATGGACCATCTGGTGGTAATGGTTCGTTCTGGTTTAGTAACCGAAGAAATTGTGCCCAAGAACGTTTGTCTACTTTCCAAAATAAAAACTCTGTATCTCTTGGAGGGTTAATTTCAATCTTTTGAAATGAAACGGTGGAGTTCATCTTGTCATATTCTAGTTTCAGATAGTATGTTCCATTTAGTAAAGAGTCGTATTTTTCTTGAAATTCCCAATAATATTTGTTCATTTGAGTTTGAAAGTCATTTAGAGTTTTCTCAAGACTTTCGTCTGAACGAACTGTAAAGATTCTCATTTCGTCAAAATTTGTCTATTAGACCATCAGAACCTTTATACTGCCCATGAAAATATACTGCGAACATAAATGCGTTAGTTCTATTTGAAAACAAAACTCTTCTAAATCCTATTGCCTTTGCATCTGAAGGACTTTGAAGCCAACGAATTGGATAGTCAAACCTGTATACTCGGGATGAAATTTCTTCATCTGAAATAGTCCTACCAGCATTTGTAAAGATATAGTCTAACGGTTTTGTATCTGCTACTTTTGTTCTTTGTTTTTCAACCTGAAGCATTTAATATATGTAAAAATATATTGTTTTAAAATGGTATGCCATTTCATATTTCTCATCTAACAAACAAGTTTCCCAACGGTCTTCTCCAACAAACTCAGCGTACATTTCAAATAAAATTAAAAAATGTCACTTTTTTAAAAATAAATTTTTACTTCATGCAATGTTCACTAACATCGAAAGGCATGTTCATAAGACGTTCTTCTTCTAACCTCTCTAGTCTGTTTGGATAATTGGCACGTGCTGTTTCCAAATCCATTTCGTAGGTCAGACCAGCCAGTTTGTCATAGACTTTTATGGGTCTTCCTTTCTTATATTTAAACTTCTTCGAAACTCTCCAACCATATCTTTGTAACTCTGCTTTTATTCTAGCAGACTTTCTATCCATTCTATATGGGGGCATTTTTATAAAAATAAAAAAATATTTTTTCTTTACTTTACATAACCGCCTGCTGCCATAAGTCTTTGACGCCAACCCATACCAGCTAATGAAGGTTGACTTGGTTTAGTTTCCAAACTAAACTTTGGTTTTGGTTTATCTTCAGTTTTTGGTTTTTCTTCTTTATCGGTTTTTTCGTCACTTTTCGGTTTCTCTGACTTTACCTCACCTGCAGGAACAGTTGTGTCGTCAACATCTTCATAAATATCATATGCCATTTGTTTTTGTTTTCCTTTCAACTTTTTGTGTTTGTTGTAAAGTTTAGAATATTTCGACTCTAAGTCAATGAGATGTTCTATAATGAACTGTTGGTCAGTGAAGTAAACTTTTCCATCTGTTGTCTCGAAAGCTCCTTCAGACTTCAATATTTTATTTGTGAGAGTCTGTTTCTTTTTTGAGATACTTGCCGTTCCATTTTTATGAAAGTGACTTTGTAGTTAGGGTTTGTATTTCCAGACCTGGCACTTTCTATTATTGAATTTTTCTCTTCATCTGTAAGTTCTTTGACAGGTTTTGACAATGGTTCTGAACTTTTTGTTTGTGGTGTCAAATCTACCGTTTCAACTTCTTCGGTCATTTCATCTCAGTAAAAAATTTTAGTTTGGTTTGTTTTCAACTGGTTGTTGTTGTTTTTTAAGTCGGTCTAAAACTTCCTGAGGTATAGGAAGAACTTGACAAACACGTGGTGTAACTGCTGGAAGCCGACAAATCCATCTTGAACCCATTTGTCTCAATGCTGTATTGTTCATTTCATCTCAGTAAAAACTTTACATTCCCCACGTTTGAGGCGGTTGAGGTTGGTTATTGTTTACCCATTGTTGTGCATGGTTATATCCTCTGTTAAAGAATCTTTCACCTTGGTCCATATAGTGTCCTGCTTGGTTATAGTAGTCATTTGCTTTGTTATAATAGTTTCCTGCTTGTCTTCCTACATTGTCCATCCATCCTTGAACTTTTCCTCTTGTTTCAGGATTTGGAATAAGATTTGTTGCATCTCGTGCTACATCCCAACCTTTCTGTACAGTTTGTATAATAGGTTGTGCTTTCTCTTTAAGTATACCTAATGTACTCAAAATCTTCCTTCCAACTCCAAATACACCTCTGGCTATTGTTCCCACTGCGGGCAAAAATCTGGATGCAACTCCTGCTAATGCGCCAAATAAACCCATTTCTTATGGGTTAAAAAATGACGAATCCAAACAAGGACCCCTATGTTTCTAAAGCGACAAAGAAAGCACTCATGATAAAAATCTTTAGTTCAACACCAAATGCTTGGTTTATGGATATCTTGGAAAACATTCCGAGGTATAGAGAAGATGGACCACCATACTGGTTAATATTT